CAATGAAACATTTCTAAGCATATAATTTCATTTAAATATTTACTACTAAAGCCTGGAACAGTACAATTTAACAAAAAATATATGATGGACAAATTTGAACAATACCGAATAGATTCAGATTTACTGCACACACTTGGATGTACGGGTCCCCAACCTTCAGAGACTACTGTAATGTTCCGGTTATAAAATAATTCCAGATTTATACAATTTCCCCAAAATCAAGCTTGCACTGTGAATGTGTGTGATGTGTGTATTTACTATTTTTGCATGCAAAATCATGCTGTTAGTTCTTAGACTCCACCTTTCTAACATTCGGCTATCAATGTATTGACTCCCGACCTATTTTCTCTATCATTTCTACTACATATATCATTTCCCATACACATACACACATCCCATTTGTTTCTGCCTCGGCAAGGAACTGAAACCAAGTCCGTGGACTGTGACTCCTGAAAGATGTCCATTTGGTCATGAGGATCCTAGTTTGTGTATGTGTGCGTAATTATAGGTTGAGATCTATACTCAAGATCTCCTTTTTCCCTCTATCACATTATAGTTTGAAGTCTGATAGTTCTGGTATCCATTTTCTCCTTCATTTTATTCCATTTGTCTACAACTCTTTTTCACAAAATAACATTTTAAATTAATCTTTCAGTGCATGCCTGTGTGCAGGTAGGCATAGATACCTCAGAGTAGATACAGGATGTGAACTATGCTCTTGGTATCTCGTCTTCCCTGTCATATGACATTTTGAAACTGCTGATAGTTTTTGGTATCCACCTTCTAACTTAATTTGGTTCAACCATTTACCACTGTTTGCAAGGAGAACCTTGTAAATGTTTTGGGGGGGTACCTTTAATTCCTTGGCTTGAATTTATGATCTCTTCTTGTTGAAGCAGTTTCAGGAATTCCTGTCAATTTGGTTGATCCTTTTACTATCTTGTATGAAGTGATCATATTGCTGGTTTATTCTATCTTCAAGTTTTAGTACATTTAACATCTCTTAAACTCTCTTCGTAGCTCTTGCTTTTCAGTTCTGGAAGCCATTTAGTAACACGTCTTTGTACCTTTTCATAGTTTATTGATGTGCTTCTTGAGATATTGGCACCATACAACTGCCACATACTCCAATTTTGGTCCCATCAAAGTCATAAACAATTTCTTTAATATTTCTCCATCCATGTATTTAAAAGCAATTCTGAAGTTGGAAAACATAGCATATGCTCCTCATCTGTAATTAACCGTTTTACAGGAGGAGAGCGATGCTTGCAGTTTCCGTCTCCCCTATAATTGTTATCATACAACGTTTCGAAACTTCCAATAGTTTTGGCACCCACCAACCTCTACCTAATATATTCCAGCCTTCCACAAATCTGTTTACAAAAGAAAACTTTAGTAAGTTTTTTGGCATCTTTGATTTGTTACCTTGAATCTATGGCTGCAGATTTAAGTCTTCCTTCGCAACTATTAGTTTATGCATGCATGTATGCACGGTCTTTAGTGGATAAGTAGGTGTCGGATGGGTTTCAGTGGGTGGGTGTATTTTAGGATTTGGTGGGCGAGTGAATAGATAGATGGGCTTGGATAGATAGGTTGGTGGGATTGGGTTTAGAAGATAGGTGGGTTTGGGGAGCTGTATGGATAGGTAGATTTTTTTGGTTTTGGTAGGTAGATGGGCAGGTAGGTGTTTCAGAATGTGGATAGATTAGTTAACTTAGGGTTTCAACAGGCGGGTAGGTGGGTTGTTTTCATACTTGGGTTTGAGTAAGTAGGTACATACATTGGTAGCTTTGGGTAGGTGGGCTGTTTAAGTAGATAAACATCAGTGTAAACTAAAAACTGGGGGGTTGAGGTGCTTACCTAACTGTACCTACAGGGAATGAGCTCTAGCTCTTGGGTTCTGCATATAACTACTCTACCATTTACATTTATACTTCTCAACATTCCAGTATTTTTGCATATCTTTGTTGGTGTTTAGCAGTCTACCAGTAAAGGTGTGCGTGTAAAGAACTCCATGTGTGGTAGAGGTGCAGAAGTGTGTGTGTGTAATTACTCAAGTGTAGTTGCAGGATGAGAGCTACGCTTGTGGTGTCCCGTCTTCCCAACACTGATATAACGCTTTGAAACTACCGACGGTTTTGGCCTCCACCACCGTCTCGCTTAATTTGTCCTAACCGTCTACCGCTCTGTTTGCAAAAAGAGAACTTTCTAATAATTTGTCGGTACCTTTGTTTTATTAGCATAAATTTATGACTTCTTGTTTTTGGAAGCTGCAGGTTTCAAGAATTCCTATTACTATTTTAAATATAGTGATCATGTCCTCTCTCACCTTCCAATCCTCTAGTTTTGGCAAATTTAACACCTCTAGTTTCTTTATAACTCATTTTTTTCAGTTCTGAGCGCCATCTAGTAGCATGTCTTAGTACCTTTTCCAATTTACTGATGTGGTGCTTCTTGAGATATGGGAATATTTTATATCCATGTACTGTATTCAAAAGGAAGTCTGAGGTTGGGAAGCACAGCATATGAGCCTCTCATGTCCATTATGTGGTCCTCTGACAGTTTACTATTTAAGTTCATTTACGCCCTTTCACATAATTTGTAGGTCGTGTGTGGTCTATTTTCTCCTATTTCATATTCCATAACGTGGCATTTATTCATGTGTGCACTTGTGTGTGTAGAAGCAGCAGTGTGGAAGGGGGTATGTGTGGGCACATATAGGTGGTGTGCGTGTAACTTCTTAAAGTGTAGCTACAGGACAAGAGCTATCTTGAGGTTATCTTGAGATGATTTCGGGGCTTTCAGTGTCCCCGCGGCCCGGTCCTCGACCAGGCCTCCACCCCCAGGAAGCAGCCCGTGACAGCTGACTAACACCCAGATACCTAGGTACCTATTTTACTGCTAGGTAACAGGGGCATAGGGTGAAAGAAACTCTGCCCATTGTTTCTCGCCGGCACCTGGGATCGAGCCCAGGACCACAGGATCACGTGTCCAGTGTGCTGTCCGCTCAGCCACCGGCTCCTATATTTGTGGTGTCCTGTCTTCCCCAGTATTGATGCTTTTACACTACTGACAGTTTTGGCATTCACCACTCTCTCACTTTACTTGTTTCAACCCTCCATCATTCTATATGAAAAATAAAAGGATAACTTCCTAATATTTTTTCTGCATTTTTCCTTCCTTAGCTTGAAGCTCTTTTTAAGATTCTGAATCTGAAGTTTCAGTTTTCAAGAATTCCATTTTTTCAAGTTTGTAATACCTGTTACTATTTTGTATGTAGTGATCATTATATATCTTCTCTTTTTCCATCTTCCAGCTTTGGCAAATTTAACACCTCGAATGTCTCCTTGTAGCTCTTGTATTTCAATTCAGGAAGACGTTCAGTAGCATGTCTACATCTTTTCCAGTTTGATGTGCTTTTTGAGATACGGGCGCCATACAACTAATGCATATTCCAATTTTGGTCTCACAAAAGTTGTGAACAATTTCTATTACTGTACACTGTCCATGTATTTACAAGTGATTTTGAAGTTAAAAAGCATAGCATAGGAAGTTTGCATAATGTTCTTTATATGATCTTCTGATGACAGTTTACTATACAGAACCACCCCTAATCTCATTCTTTGTCAGAGTTCTGTAAAGCCTTTTCACTTAATGTGTATGTTGGGTGTGGCTGATTTTTTCCTATTCCACATTCCATTATGTGGCATTTGTTCACACTGATTCCAATCTGCCAAGTGTTGCACCATACATTTATTTCGTGACCTAAATTCAAGGTCAACTCAATTCATAATAATCATCTAAGTTTCCTAACTTCCCTAGAAGCTTAGCATCATCAGCCAACATGTTCATATAATTCTGCATTCCTTCTTTTAGATCATTCACATTACTCTGTTACAAGTGAAGCCTGTGGTACTCCACAAGTAACCCTACTGTACTTCAGTCTGATACATTGCCTCTCATTACTGCCCTCATTTTTGTCAGAATGTTTTTTTTATCCATGTCAAGTCTGCCTGTCACCCCTCCAGTATGTTCCAATTTGCAGAACAACCTCTTATGTGGGACTGTTCAAAGCATTTATTTAGTTCTAGATAAATGCAGTCAACTCAATCATCTCTTTCCTGTAAAATCTCCGTGGGTATATAAAAAAAAAAATATATATATATATAGATTTGATACACAAGATGTTCCTGTTTGAAGGCCATACTGTCTTATTATTTCTCTCTAGGCATTCTGCCCATTTGGTTTGTTCATTTTTTTTCTGGAGTTTTGACTACCACACTTGTCAAAGATACAAGTCAATAAATAAGCGGGTCTTCTCTGCTACCATTTTTATAGATAGGAACTATGCTTAACATTTTCTGTGCATCTGCTAAGATTCCTGTACATAAAGACATCTGAAATATCATTTGAAGCAGGATGCTCAGTTTAGGTGTACATTCTCTCAGAACACATGCTGAAATTCCTTCTCAGCCAAATAAATATTTTGTTTCTTCCTACCTCAAATAATTTTTCTTCGTAGATACCTCAAATGACTTTTCCCACTTCGTCTCAGAACACCTTTATGTACTCTAAGGTGTTCTCTGAAACTGGCTTTGTTTTCTGCTTCTCTGAAAACCTCATTTTCACAAACATACTTTGGAACTGTTCATTTAGTGTTTCACATATTTCCTTTTCAGTCTCTGTGAAGCTGTTCCCCATTCTCAATCTCTGGATTTTTTCTTTTACATGCAGCTTGCTTTTAATAAATATACGTTGAGTCAATCCTCTTTTCTAGTTTTGCATCCATGTGTAATAATCTAAGTGTAGTTACAGGAGGAGAGCTATGCTCGTGGTCTCTAGTAAGGAGACTTCCCAGGCATCTTGGGAAGGTGTGGAGGGGTGTAAGATTGTGTACCTATATTAACCTGGGCCTTCTGTGGAAAAACACCCTACTTTTTTGCTAATAGCATTTTGTCATACAAAGGAGATGAGAAAAGATAAATGACTCATGTCAATACTCATGTTGTCAAATTAAGATTTATTATCATCATTGCACAAGATAAAGCTTAGCACATCACTTTTAAAACTGCTCGAAATATGCTGCCGACGCAAGGCAAATTATAAAGTTACCATTCTTTAAAATATCTCCTAGTTTTTTGTACACCCAAAATTTTTTTCTTTTATCAGACATTTCTGCACAAAAATATGTCTAAACCACCCATCTTCACCTCTACATTAGAAGCAAAACATAAGTGGCTAAAACCTTCCAGATAAAGTAAGCTACATCTGTATTACTGAATGTGCTATTGGTCAGGCATGAAGGAGGATGTTGTATATGACAATTTTAAAAAAATTTATGACTGAAAATTGATCAAGAGAATTAAGTATGGCACATAAGGTGATCATGAACCTTTCAAATTCATACTGTTTCTTGGTGTGAGCATATGGCACATGTTCCAGTAAAGCCAAAGCCAAATCAATTTGTAAAATTCTTCAGTATATGCTTCAAATTTCTCCTTAAAACAATGATGAAATACAAATGTAAGAGTCTAGAAAAGACCACTTTCTCAAAGTTCTCATAAGGAAACAGACTCAAGATGGAGGAAGAATAATTAACAAGAAGCAAATACAAACGAGTTGTAAAACCAAGTCTTCTTTTCCTAGACCACAACAGTACATGCATGATACTTCTAAAATGATACGGGCTCTCAATATTTGAATTACATTTGTAGTACATATAAAGAATACTGTTTTGCCAGTTGACTTACAGATACAGTTAAGCCGTAAGGGCCGCCTTTCATCTCTGCACACTTGTAACAAACTCAAGGCATCTGTCTGGTGAAAACAACTATCAACTGTAACCAAACCTGTCCACTTTGTACATAATTTTGAATAATCAATTACAAGGACTTCAAAAAACAAATATAATAACTTAACATTTAATAAAATGGCTTACTTCCTATAATATTAGAAAGCTTCTAGCATCAGTGATCTTTCTTTACTTTCATAAAAACAAATACTGTACTAATTTATCTCTGGCTAATATTGTAGGCAGTGTTATAAGTTGCTAACTTTCCATGTGTTATAGATCAATGAATTAAGAGAGAAGAGTGGGGCTTATGTACTGCAAGTGTGACCAAGGCCTCAACCTCTGACTTGACCACATTTTTAACACCATTAACACCATTTGACATAACACCATTTTTATTAACTTCATTTACATGGTGAAAACAGTAACTATTATAGATAACAAGAAAGAAATTGCTATATGGAAAAAATAAAATTAAATAAACAATAGGACAATGAATTGAAAGATAATTTATAACATCCATATACAGATATCTAATTTAATAACATTTTAATAAAAAACATGGCTTTCCTATATATCTGTGGTACACACATCACAATAACACCTTTTGTCAACAAAAATAGATTATAATTTTGTGTGTATACGTCTTTAAGTACATTAAATCTTTCCACTGAAATCATGTTGTACTGTAGTGAATAAAGGACTTCATAGATTATGGTCAGGTGCCAATATATTATGTAAATTAATACCTTTAGCCTCAGAGGCAGAAGACAAGGAAATTAAAAGCCCTATTCAATATATGAATGAAATGGTAGCTATGAACATGATATGGTATTTGAAATTCAAGCTTATGCAAGAAGAATGACAATGTGTATGAATCCAAATGTGTGAGGTATTTTAATGTGGGACAATGTGACAACAGAGCATAACTGGTTTTCACAATATGCCAAGCTGCAATTCTAATTTACTTATATCCTGACCCCAGGTCACACTAATTTGCAAGCAAGTCATTATCACAGATAGAATTCAACCTTACATATTATCAAACTGTATTGGTTGGATATTATGCACAAGGAAGAACAGGAGCATTATCAACGGACCAGTCATACCCGCTGCAGACATAACAATTCTCATGGGCATTAAGTCTGTTTACAGTCACTTTAAATAATGACATGTTGATGTCACTCAAAGGTGAATCTTGCAGTGTCCGCAAGATCCTAATTTTCCACAGATACTATGGTAATTACCGTAGCTTCATGAACTTGGCACCTCGTGTTCCGTTCGGGAAACACAAGGATAAAGGTTCTCAATTCAACCAGACTTTTCAATGTTTTATTTTAACTTGCACCAACTGTTATCACAATTATAATTTGGCTTCTTTTTCAACACACTGTATTTTTGTTTTCCCCCACCCGTGCATGTTGACGTCAAACTCTGACTTGGCTGTGATTATAAGAGAGGTTAAGTAACACAAAGGAAAGGCTCGAGAAGCAGAGCGGGACAAGGGGTACAGCAGGTGATCACAAGGAAAAAGTGACTTAAGAGAACCATTTTAAAAGTTAAACAATTTAGGAATTAAATCTCGGCCAAAAATAAATATGAACAGCTCTTTAAAACACAGCCACAGTTCCACAAACCAGTAACCTTTACAATTAATACTATCACTTTATTGACAAAGTAAAGGTTCAGTTTCTGGGGTTCATTAAGAATTCAGAAAAATAAAGTGTGTTCAGTGGTGACCAGAGGTTTCACTCTGCATACTCTCGTTCTCCCACATTGATGCGTTCATTGGATGTAACACTGAACCCTAGAATACTACTGTCTACTTTCTGCATCTTTTTCTTACTGGCCTTCTTGCTTCGAGCCTGCTGCAAAGCAACCGATACAGATTTCATTACTTCACTCCATCAGCAACACTCAACATGCAAATGGTTAATTCTAATCATTGTATGCTAAATAAATAATATATGCATGTCACTTACGTCAAGGGATATATTACAGGTATAAACAATGTCCAATAACTAGAAGACCTGCAGTACCACTTCCCTACAATTCATTTGAAAACAAATTAAAATTAATGTCTTTCAGAATTACATTTTCTTGAAATAAATACAAATTAATTAAATTATTATGTATCGCCCAAGTGTCAATAAGCAGTATTTAACAATTATAAAAATTCAGAATAAAATAAACAAACGCAAACCAGACACAAGTACCAATTTTGAGCTGAAATCTTTCTCAAATCAGGTAAGGAGAAAGATCTTGGGATTGGTATCACACCGAACTTGTCTCCTGAAGCCCACACCAAAAGGATATCATCTGCGGCACATGCTAGATTGTCCAATTTAAGAACTGCCTTAAGAAATGTGTATACATATATATTCATATACATATATATACATCACTAAGAACTCCTTTTGACCCGGTCAGGATTCGAACCCATGCCGTCCAGGATCACCGCTAATGTTCAGCAGTCATGATTGGTACACCACACCAATGATTGTCTAATGGTCACGGTACTGTGTACGTTTAGGGGCGATCCTGGACGGCATGGGTTCGAATCCTGGCCGGGTCAAATAGAGTTCTTAGTGATCTATGGCTTGTGTGTTCATGCAGCTTTCTCACATGTATATACATACATATATACACACACTAAGTTTCCTTTTCTGAATTACGTGGGACAGAGCCCCTGACGGATAAGCCAGACATTCTGATAAGCAGAATTCTTACAAGGGAAGTCCAAAAATGACCATATTTGCAATTTTTGGTACCACAACTACCATAATTCTTATTTCCTCACACACCATCAATAAAAAATATAATTTAAGAGAAACATCAGCATACCTTGTTGTAGTTTGTCTTCTTGTGTTTCAAGTAGTAGATCTTGAAATGTGTTGCTCTTGAAAATTTCCTAATCTCCGGTTATCCATATTTCTGATTGGATATTGCAAAGTTCTGCCAGAAAATTAATCCGAATTTGACTTAAGACTCTGTGCCAACCTGCATTATCCAGCTAAATCCCCGGTTATCAGAATTTCAGTTCAGATATGGCGAAGTTTGGCAGAAAATTAGCCAACTCTGATTTTGGCCTGATAATCCAAATATTTGGTTCTGCGGGCTTCAGATAATGAGCTCATACAGTACTGTATATCTCTAGTTTGACTAATGAGTTCCTCACCTACCTCCTTTAGGAACTAAGTGCACATTTACCCCAGGCACCCAGGGTCCCAGAGCCTATTTTCACAAACCTGTAACAATGTTGAAGGTGCCTGTACTTATTATTTTTCTAGGTCTCCCTGAAGGTGGGCCACCCCACCACCCTCAGCTGTACTGTACAGTAGATAGGTATCAGGCAATGTAGAAGCACACATCTACGATGGCAAAAGCTAGATCATCATTCAGAAACCTTAGTAAGGAGGCATTTAGGGAGCTTTACACTGCCTATTTGAGACCAGTCTTAGAGAATGTTACCTCATCGTGGAGCCTTCACCTGAAGAATCACATCAGGAAACTGGAAAAGGTTCAGAAGTTTGTGACGAGGTTCGTCACAGAGTTACGAGGGATTGGGTATGAAGAGCGACTGAAGGAACTGAACCTGACAACACTAGAAAAGAGGCAGTGGGGAGATGTGATAGAAACAAAATACTTAGGGGGATTGACAGAGTGGAAATAGACGAAATGTTCACACACTGAATAATAACAGAACAAGGGGTCATGGGTGAAAGCAGGAAAGATGAGTCATAGAGATGTTAGAAAGTTTTCTTTTAGTGTTAGTGGGGAAAATGGAATGAAAGATGAAATGGGGAGCCGGTCGGCCGAGCGGACAGCACACTTGTGATCCTGTGGTCCTGGGTTCGATCCCAGGCGCCGGCGAGAAACCATGGGCAGAGTTTCTTTCACCCTATGCCCCTGTTACCTAGCAGTAAAATAGGTACCTGGGTGTTAGTCAGCTGTCACGGGCTGCTTCCTGGGGGGTGGAGGCCTGGTCGAGGACCGGGCCGCGGGGACACTAAAGCCCCGAAATCATCTCAAGATAACCTCAAGATAACTTAAGGAGCAAGTTGTAGAAGCAAACGCTATTAATAATTTTAAAACTAGATATGATATGGAAATAGGACAGAAGTCACTGCTTTAAACAATTGGCAGCTAGAAAGGCGGGATCCTAGAGCCAATGCTCTATCCAGCAGGCACAAATAGGCGAATACATGTAGCCCCCCACAACCAATACCCATCCCTACATGATTGCAGGGTAAGTCCTATCTGGGTGTATTATATATATATTCACATATTAAATGCCCCCTATAGGGCAGGTTAGTTTATGTAATTTGGCCAAATTAATTCAATTTGTTACTAGATACCAGTAAATGAAGAATTTGGTCTAAATAAGATTTGTCAGTTGCCTTTTAATCCTCTCTCCCATCCACCTTCCACCCTTGTCTCCCAAAAATCTGTACAGTCAAATCACTTCAAAATCACAAGCTGATATTCTTGCATGTACTACTCACCATAAATGGAGAAAATCAATAGCTGCTTTTAATTACTAGTCTCTCTAAGCTACCACCAAATAGTGTTTATCAGTGTAAATTGCAACACTCTCCTAGCGAGTGTGTCGTCAATACTAGTACAGTAATATGTATGGTACCTTGACTTCCTGGAATTCAGTGCTGGTGGGATTGACAGCCGGCGCCGGCGCCAAGATGTCATCTTCCACTTCACGTTCCTTTTGGGCATTCCTGGCTTTACTGCGTCGCTCAAGATACTGCTTTGCAAATTCTTTGACCTCTTTACTGTCTCCCAGGTAAGAACGGATATAGTCATGCACTTCATAGGGTGACTCTACTTCAGCTAAGAACGTCACAAACGTTGGAACTGAAAAAATCCAAGTAATGGCAATAGATTTGTTGTTTACAATTGTGTTTTTTGTCACATACAATCTCCAGTACTCTTAACTGGAGTTAAGAGTACTCTTACTCCAGTACTCTTAACAGTAAAATCCCTAAACCAAAAAGGTTAATACAAAAGTGATTAATTTTTAATCTTGCATATTATTTTCTGCAGTAATGTCTATTAATGTACACTTACTGTCAATAGAAGCATGGACCTTCAAAGTGTGAAGTGAACTCTTGCACCACTGTGTGAACGAGTCTGCAGGAGACATGTTGTCTGTGAACAGCTTTTTGACAGTGTCACTCTCATCCTTCGATTTCTTTTTATTTACACGATTATTAGCATTAGCATTTTGAGAAACTGTCACCACACTTTTGTTATTGGTGTTGGCATTGGATGGCTTCGTGGGAGTGCGACTAGTAATTGGTTTTCCGAGCTTGACCGGCTCGGGGTTATCCCAAAATCCTCCTGTAAATTAAAGTAACTATCAATTACTTATTTATAAACCATTTACTAATGAACATGAAATTGCTTATTAGATCCCTGTGGAAACAAACAGTACATTTCTAACTTTCATGGGGGTAGGGGAGCCCTCAGTCAAGAAGAAACAAAACAAAAATACTGTCTCAAGTGTACATGAAAAGATCCTTTCTAAGGAGGCCCCTAGGTTGCTCTCTCAGGCAACTCTCCCCCTCATGGTAAAACCAATGATAGTAAGAAATAAAATAAATAGGATGACATGAAGCCATGAAGAACAGCTGATGTGACTCCTCTCCTTTGGTCAGGAGAGAAAGTTTATAAACCAAAGTTTACTACCCAGTGGGCACTTAGGGCAACTCAAGCCGCACCACCAAATTGCACTGTTGTTCATTGATGGAGGAAGAAAGAGGTGAAGAAAGAAGCAAGTAGATAAATAACAGTTAAGGCAAACAGGAAACCATGGAGAAAAATGGAAGCAATGTTGACATTTATTGCTCTGTAATGCTTTATGTCATAACAAAGATTATAATTATTACTTTGATATTGGATCTTTTATACCCTACTTGACTAACAAAAGAAAATGTAAACAGTGAATTGCATGTAGCTTTTCCCTAGTGTCTTTAAATTATATACAAACACACAATACATAGCACTATACAAAAGATAAATCAACTTGCCTAGCAGGATAAGTACATCGATTCTAAGTCCCGAAGCTCCGTCTAAGATGGGGATTAATAAATATTTCCTACCTGCAGATGCAGAGTTTTCAGAATGGCTCCAAATGGCAGAGTGGTCATTATTCCAGACAGAATGCCCAGGACTGGTTGTAGGAACTGCAGGTTGGCTACCGCTGTTCCACAAGCCTCCACAACCATTACTTCCACTTGATGCCTGACCACCACTAGTACCACCCCACTGCTAAAGAAAATCCAGAATACACATTACAGCTTTTAAATTATCATTGAAGCATTTAAAAAACTAAAGTCGATAAAATAACTCAATGCTCACTAAATATCCCATGGAAAAATTAGGATATTATAAAAAACCAGCTTGAATGTAATGAAACGCCATTTTCTGGGTGAGTCCCGGAGGCTTCCTGGAGTTATCCCAGGCTGATATGCTAATGTCAGTAATGTCAGACTTTGGCATCAGTCATGTGTATGGAGTTCTTATGCCTACCGGGGACCACGGCTAGAACCGAGCCCCCTCAGAATGCAATGGCCAATAGAAACCCGTGTGGTTGGAAGCATTCTATGTATGCCATCGACCGGATCAGGCACCCAGAAAGGTAAGCGCACCAAAACAAACCCCTATTCTGGTTAAAATTGCTACCAAAAGCCGAACTAGTGGATAGAACTCCCCAACAGAAAACGAGCAAACTAGTGTGACGTCACACGTCCCCGCGCCACTGTCTGTGCAGCTCCCCCCTCCCCAGGAGGGGGAAGGGGGAGCCCCAGACCCTTCACGCCGGCTACCCACACCTTAGTTCTGAGGCTGGATGTCAAAAACATGAAAAAAACGCCAGATTGGAGTGAGGGAGGGTTGCCGGGAGCCTTCAGGACTCACCCAGAAAATGGCGTTTCATTACATTCAACGCTGGTTTTCTGGGGGGGGGGGGAGGGGAGCCCTGTCAGCTCCCTGGAGCTAACTACCCACAGACAGAAAAAGAGGGACTTACCCAGGAGGCGGTTGTCACTCACTCCTTAACTCGACGTCAAGACAACTGGCTGCAACTGCAGACCCAAAGCAACACAGGCCCGACGGGGCCCAGGGACATTCACGAGGTAATAAGCAGCCAGGACCCTGTTCGACCGCCAAAAACTCCACGCCCGAATATCAGACCAAGACATATTTCAAAAGATGGCAGCAAGAGCCGCGAACTTACGGACGTCATGGGCACGGGGATAGACCCCAGGCTGGCTAGATTTGATAACCCTGTGAACGACCTGGGAGACCCGAACCCGCGGACAGGGAAGAAGGGAAACTGGATCAACCCAAAGCGTGTCCCTGGACACAGAAGCCGTGGCACGCAAATAACGGAAAAGCACCGCAACCAGACACAAAGCATGATGCACCCCCGCCACATCAACCAAGCATCGACCACCCACGGACCCCTCCGGAACGCAGCAGTCTCATTCTTCGCCAGAAAAGGAGACAGCTGCAAGTGAACAAAACGATCTCCACGACCGAAAGAGCAGAAACCCCTGCGCCGGAAGAGAGCATGAAGCTCCCCGACCCGACCCCCAGAGGCTAATGCCAATAAGAAAAGAGCCTTGGAGAAACAATCCCGGACCAAAGGGGCCACAATGAAACGAGGAGACGAAAGGTCAGCTAGCACCCTGTCTAAAGACCAGGACGGCTTAGGCGGCGCATGAGTAAGCCGGAGGTGAAACAAAGCATGAGACAGCTTGAGGCACTGGTCACAAAACCTTCCCAGCCGAGAGACGACACGTCCGTGTACACATCGAGTGAGGGCTTGGTTAGGCGCCAAGGCACCGAACCCCGAAAAACCCGAAGAGGAAGCCAGCGACGCAGCAGCCGACGCAAGGTTCCTGGGGGTCGAACCCAGCGATCGTGCGAGAGGCGGAAGGGGCAACCTCGAAGGAACCAGAAGAGCCAACGAAGCCAAACCTGACCCGGCAGGTAGACTACCATCGCGAAGTTCAGGCTTCCGCACAGCCTCTCGAGCAACCGCCGGGTGACCCGAGGGCCCACCAGAATCAGACGAAAGCGGGACCGCAGCCGCAGGAGAAACTCTGGAGGGAGAGACAAGGAAGCGGTCCGAGAGTCCCAAACGAGACCCAGCCAAGTCCGAACCTGAGAGGTGACCAGATAGGACTTCCTCCAGTTCACCAAGAACCCGAACCCGGCGAGCTGGGAAAGAACCAAATCCCTGTCTAGCAAGCAAGCCGACCAGCTGTGAGCCCAAACCAGCCAGTCGTTGAGGTAGGCCAACACCCGAGCACCTAAGAGACGCAAACGGGCCACCACGACCCGCGTAAGGCGCATGAACACGCGAGGTGCCAGGAACAACCCGAAAGGGAGACAACGAAAGCGGTAACTTAGATGCCCCACAATAAAACTGAGCCAGTCCCAGAACCTCGGATGAATCAAGACATGCCAATAAGCATCCCGGAGGTCCAGGGACACCATCCAAGTGCCCGGTTCCAAGAGGAGCTGAACCTGAGACAGCGTAGTCATCCGAAAGGAGGGGCAATGAACTCAGGGTTTCAGACGGGACAAGTCCAGAATGAACCGCAGGTCCGCGCAGTCCCGTTTCGAGCCCGGAAACAGATGGGAAACCCATCTGAGGGATGACAACGTTTCGACAATGCCCAAACGAACCCACTCCAAGACGACCTGACAGAACAGGGGAAAAAACCTGCTATGCCAGCCCCGACCCTCCAAAGGGGGGGGGGGGCACCCAACGCCACAGCAGGCCTTCAGACACGACCCGAAATGCCCATGAATCGTGGGACCAGGTGTGGGCAAACAGCGCAAGCCTCCCCCCATCGCCCCGTCAATGGGGCAAACCGTGAAAGGGCCGGCGCCCCTTACGAGACCCAGAACTCCGCACAGAGCGAACACCACGCCAACCAGACAAGGGCTGGTCCGAAGCAGGAGCCGAACCCGAACCTGACACCAGTGGCCTACCACGACAAGAGGAACGCCGAGCCCTGGCATGACCCTTCCGGGAAGACCCACCATGGGACCCCCGAAAAACCAACAAGTCCAATATCGGACGACAAGCCGACAACGCAGCCTGGATAAACTGTGCCACAGCAGACTACTCAAACAGAACAGGACAAAAAGGCGACGACAGCCTAAGAGCCAGAGCCCAAACAGATTCCGTGGAGGAACCCAGCACCGCCTGCCAACACACGAGATGGGAAGCATAAAACAGGGAAACCACATCCCGCAAAATCGGCGCGAAAAGCTTCAACAAGGCTCCAAGGCACAAACCAGGGAGAGGCTGCAGGATCCAATAAGTTCAGTAGAACTTCGGTTTCAACTACTTTTACCATGTCGTAGCTCAGTCGATTAAGGCAGCGTCTGGGATGCTCTCGGACGCAGGTTTGAATCCTCGTCATGGTCCTTGTGGATTTGTTCATTTGATGCTTCATGCAATTGTGATTTCTGTGTGTAACTGGTAGGGTGCTTCAGTAGATAAGGGAGTACCTGAACAATAGGAAGCAAAGTTATGGTGAGGGGGGAGAGCTCAGAATGGCGTGAAGTCACCAGCAGAGTCCCACAAGGTCCTGTAATTGGACCTATCCTGTTTCTGATATACTGTACGTAAATGATCTCCAGAAAGTATAAACTCATTCCTCTTAATGTCTGCTAGTGATGCCAAAATTATGAGAAGGATGAAGACGGAGAAGGACAGCATGAGGCTTCAATATGACCTGGACAAACTGAAGGAATGGTCCAACAAATGGCTGTTAAAGAGTTTAACGCGAGCAAATGTAAAGAAAAGAAGATAGGTGTAGGGATCAGGAGGCTAGATACAAGGAACCATTTTGGAGATGAGATTTTTCAAGAATCAGAGAGAAATACCCGGGGATTGAAAGACCTGTCCCCTGAAGCCTACATCTAGAGAATATCATCAGCGGCATTTGTCAGGTTGGCCAACATACAAACGGCCTTTAGAAACTTGTGTAAGGAACCATTCAGAAACTTGTATACCACATACGTCAGACCAATCTTGGAGTATGTATGAAGCTCCAGCATGGAGTCCATATCTCGTCAAGCACAAGACTAAATTAGAAAAGATTCGGAGGTTTGCCACCAGACTAGTACCACGAGTTGAGGGGTATGAGCTACAGACCCCTCACAGAGGGGAATGGTAACTAAACCTCACGTCACTGGAAGAAAGAAGAATTACAGGAAGGCATGATAACCACATATAAGAGTCTCAGAGGAATTGACAGGGATAGATAAAGAATGGAAGTGATCTGGTGGAGGCAAACTCCATACACAGTTTCAAACATAGATATGATAGAGCCCAATAGGTTCAGGAATCTGTACACCAGTTGAATGACAGTTGAGAGGCAAGATCAAAGAGCTGAAGCTCAACGCCTGCAAGCACAACTAGGTTATCTTGAGATCTTCTTGAGGTTATCTTGAGATGATTTCGGGGCTTTTTAGTGTCCCCGCAGCCTGGTCCTCGACCAGGCCTCCACCCCCAGGAAGCAGCCCGTGACAGCTAACACCCAGGTACCTATTTTACTGCTAGGTAACAGGGGCATAGGGTGAAAGAAACTCTGCCCAGTGTTTCTCGCCGGCACCTGGGATCGAACCCAGGACTACAGGATCACAAGTCCAGCGTGCTGTCCGCTCGGCCGACCGGCTCCCATATAGGCGAGTGCACACACACACAAACTATTGTTAATAACAAAGATGGCCACCACCACTACGGGGAATGTAAACACACCACCAGAAGATTGTTTCAAAGGATTCTCACCACAAGATATAGGAAAGGGGGGTTTTCTTGGCAGGTTACAGATAATTGAGGATATGCAAAAGAAGTATGATGAAAAAGTTCTTAAATTGGAAGAGAACAATGGAGCTCTCAGGAGTGAGCTTTGCACTCTAAATGGAAGTATTTTTCAGCAAAGTAAGAGTATTAATGGACAAGGTAACAAATCAGGAGGAACAAATCAAGGAACTTGTGAAAGAAAATGAGGTATGGAAAGTGAAGAGTGGTGACTGAAAAAATAAACAAGAAAATACTCATATGGTGAACAACTCCAAGGGACCCTGAGGGCTAACATAGGGTTAGGCAAGGATGTGCAACTGGAAACTTCATTGACAACTCACATAGAAGGTAGTTAATAAAGAACTAGAAAAGTATAAAGAAGAAATAAAACACAAGCAAGTTGTAAAAGAGAAAGAGACGATTAAGGAAGTGTGTTTGGAAGTCAAAACCAGAAATGACAAACAAGAAGTGGAACTTAGGCAAGCAATTAGGAAAGAACGGGTAACCAACAGTAAATTAACACAAAACATTGCAGGTAGAAGTCCATAAAAAATTTTGGGTGTTTAGAGAAGGAAATTTCATCTAGGGTGGACAGAGCAGCAGAAAAAATGAAAATCATACAAAAAAATAGTAGGATTAGGAGAAGGCCTAAATTCAACGGAACATTGTCAGTGATTTTAGGAGGATAGGAAAATTATGAGAAAGACAAGAACCGCCCCTTTAGTGTGATGTTTAATGGAGTGAAACATATGTTGGAAGTGCTTAGAAATGCCAGAAAATTGCAATGTAATGAGGATGGCAAACTTTGGGCAATAAGACAAGACCTTTCAAAGGAGGACAGTGGAAAGCTGAAAATGAACCTCATTGAAGCAAAATGTCTAAATGGGGATAGAAATGAAGAAAGGAATTTTTTTCCTGCAAAGTGTTAGGGACTGGAAAGCTAGCAAAATGGTGCATAAAGACAAAGCAATAAAATCATTAAAGGAAAGGGGTGTAAAGAAGATAGGGAAGGGGAACATGTTCCTGAAAATAGTATATACCAAGATAGATGGAGTGAGATAAAAAATATTGGAGTTAAAGGATATGATTCAGCTCAAGGTCCCAGATATTGTCACATTAACAAAGACAAAACTTGAAGAAAATATTTTAAACGAGGGTTGTATTCCCAAGGGGCTACTCAGTTTGGAGACACAGCAGGAAAACTAGGAGAGGGAAAGGAGTGGCTGTGCTGGCGAAAGAACACCTGAAGGTAAGACTTAATAATTGAAACCCCTCGAGATGTTGACATAATGGCGTTGCAGGTCTGGAATCAGGATGATAAGCTGATAATTGTAAATGCCTACAGCCCACCAGCAAGCAACACATGGACAAAGGAAGAACTGGATGAAAAATGAGAAAGCCTCATAATGGTCATGAGAGATATTATGGTAAGAGCAGACAAAGATGAATCCCAATTGTTGGTACTGAGGGACTTCAACTTTAAGGCAATAGACTGGGAGGCCTAAAAGGCAAGAACGGAGGACATTTTGGACAGGCAGATTTGTAAACCTCATTTTGGAGACATTCATATATTAACACATCAAGCAGGCCACAAGAATGAGGAAGGGAATGTTCCGTCAGTACTGGATCTACTGTTCACCAGGAGTGAAGAAGAGCTATTTGACATACATTACCTTCCTCCCTTGGGGAAAAGTGATCATGTCCTGTTGGACATTAAATATGCTTTGCGATATAATCTAGTAGAGAATGGGGACATTAAAACAGTTGATAAACTCGATTTCAAGAGAGGACGCTATGGGAACTAAAAAAAAATTTCAAGGGTATAATTGGACAGACTTGTTGCTAAGCAAGGAAGTAAATGAGATGTATGCCAAATTTTGCAAAATATAAGATGAAAACAGAAATGCAGACCAAGGAAACAGGGTTGGTTCAACAGAAATTGCGAGAGGGCCAGAGATCAAAAGACACGAGCATGGAATCATTATAGAAAGAGGCCAAACCCTCAAACATACCAGCGATACAAAAATGTGAGAAACAACTACGTGACAGTAAGGAGAGAGGCAAAGAGGAACTTTGAGAATGGTATAGCAGGCAAATATAAATCAGATCCAAGCCTTTTCTATAAATTCATTAAAAGCAAGCTGCAGGTAAAGAATAATATTCAGAGGTTGAAAATGGGAGACGGATTCACGGAAAACGAAAATGAAATGTGTGTGAAACATTAAACAAAAAGTTCCAAAGTGTGTTACAACAGGAAAATGGAAGCTTCAATAACATGAGCCAGAGATGGTCTTGGGTCATATAGCCAATAGTGGGAGAGATAAGGCAGTGGTCTGGTGATCAAGACTATCCCAACTCAATGACTGAATAGGCATCACCTGGAACTTTTATTACTGAGCCGATCCTTACAAACAGGGAAATAACCAAATTGTTGACCAGACCACACACTAGAAATTGAAGGAACGACGACGTTTCGGTCCGTCCTGGACCATTCTCAAGTCGATTGTGATGAGGAGGTAGGGACAGGCAATAAATAGGCAAGAGAGAGCTGAGGAGGAAAGTCAGGTGTAGGGGATAGTAGTAATGGAAACTGCAGCAGGCCTATTGGCCCATACGGGGCAGCTCCTATTATAACCACCGAAGGAGAAGTAATAGGAAAAAGAAGAGGATAGCAAGGGAGCGTAGGAGAAGACAATGAACAGAAAAAGGGAGAAGAGAGAAAGAAAAGGAAAGAGAAAGAAAGAAATGGAAGGGGGAAAGCTTATGTTAAGTCACGTTTGTTAGAAAGATTAGAGCATTTGAGTATATACTGTGACAGGGAAGAGTCTACAGCAACAAAGCCAGGACTCAAGTTCATGTTGGGTACATTGTGTATAAGAGCCGATTCTACAAGACGGTGTCTGTGTAGAGTAGAGGCAGGAAAGATTATTTTGGAGGAAGACCAATCAATGGGATGATTAGAATCCCTCACATGGCAGAAGAGAGCATTGTTAGTGTCTGCAGACTTATCACTTCTCTTGTGTTCTTTAAGTCTGTCATTCAGTGTACGGCCAGTTTCGCCAAAGTATTGGAGAGGACAAGAAGAACAGGAAATAGAGTAGACACCAGCAGCATTAGAAGCAGGAGGAGCAGTGTGAACTAGATTGCTACGAAGTGTGTTAGTTTGTCGAAAGGCGAGTTTAATGTCAAGAGGACGAAAGGTATTGGTAAAAGTTTTGAGTTCAGATATGAAGGGAAGGCATAGTACAGTGCTAGTAGTGTTGGAAGCAGGTTTAGGATGAAAGAAATTTCGTTTAGCTTGAGAGTGGGCACAGTTGATGAAATGCAAAGGATAACCAAGGCGAGAGAATGATTTGTAGATAAAGGCAATTTCAGAATCAAGAAACTGAGGGTCGCTGATGCGTAGAGCGCGGAGGAAGAGAGAGACGAGGACACTTTTCTTAACAGAAGGAGGATGGTAGGAAAAGAAGTGAATGTACATGCCACTATGCATGGGTTTACGGTAGACAGAGAAAGAGAACCCAGACACAGAGCTGTGAACATGAACATCAAGAAAAGGAAGGAGGGAATTAGATTCCCTTAAAGAACACAAGAGAAGTGTTAAGTCTGCAGACACTAACAATGCTCTCTTCTGCCATGTGAGGGATTCTAATCATCCCATTGATTGGTCTTCCTCCAAAATAATCTTAGAGAATGGGGACATTAAAACAGTTGATAAACTCGATTTCAAGAGAGGATGCTATGGGGAACTTAAAAAATTTTCAAGGGTATAATTGGACAGACTTGTTGCTAAGCAAGGAAGTAAATGAGATGTATGCCAAATTTTGCAAAATATATGATGAAAACAGAAATACAGACCTAGGAAACAGGGTTGGTTCAACAGAAATTGTGAGAGGGCCAGAGATCAAAAGACACAAGCATGGAATCATCATAGAAAGAGGCCAAACCCTCAAACATACCAGCGATGCAAAGATGCGAGAAACAACTACATGACAGTAAGGACAGAGGCAAAGAGGAACTTTGAAAATGGTATAGCAGGCAAATATAAATCAGATCCAAGCCTTTTCTATAAATTCATTAAAAGCAAGCTGCAGGTAAAGAATAATACTCAGAGGTTGAAAATGGGAGACGGATTCACGGAAAATGAAAATGAAATGTGTGTGAAACATTAAACAAAAAGTTCCAAAGTGTGTTACAACAGGAAAATGGAGGCTTCAATAACATGAGCCAGAGATGGTCTTGGTTCATATAGCCAATAGTGGGAGAGATAAGGCAGCAGTCTGGTGATCAAGACCATCCCAACTCAATGACTGAATTGGCATCACCTGGAACTTTTATTAATGAGTCGATCCTTACAAACAGGGAAAGAACCAAATCCCTGGAAAACAAACAACTCGGAACCCCAGCCAACCAATTGTTGAGGAAGGCCAACGCCAGGATGCCAAGACGACTAAGATGACAAGGTTACCCAAGTAAATCTCATGAAGAAACTGGGTTCTAAGTTTAGCTAAAGTAGTAGGGTTTGAAAGTGGAAACAGAAGGGTCCCCCCCACTCCAACCTCAGCAAAAAATGGCAAAATTCTCGGAGACCTAGAATACCTGGAAGTACAGTGCAGGTTATCTTCTTATCTTGAGGTTATCTTGAGATTATTTCGGGGCTTAAGAGTCCCCGTGGCCCGGTCCTCGACCAGGCCTCATTTTTGTTACACACCCCCAGGAAACAGCCCATAGCAGCTGTCTAGCTCCCAGGTACTTATTTACTACTAGGTAACAGGAGCATCAGGGTGAAAGAAACATTTTGCCCATTTGTCTCCCCCTCCACCGGGGATCGAACCCGGAACCTCAGGACTACGAATCCAAAGCACTGTATACTCGATCCAGTCTCAATTATTTTGTTCAAGCAAGGTCCCACTGACTACAAATATTAATAGACATGTATACAGTACCTCATGCTATTTTCATGGTTTTATTTTTGGCTATGACAAATAATTTAAAGATTCAAAAGCGATTACAATATTCTTGTTCTAAACGAGCCAAAATTTTAAATGTTTAAGATAGTATTTCTGGTTTCTCAGGTTCCCACTGAGGTTCCCAGTCACTATATACATTGATTACTGATGCTCTACCAATGATTGTTAAAGTTTCAATACTAGTGATCGATTAATTGCAAAATATGTAATTGTTAGGTAGTAACAAATGAACAGTTTGCTACTCGTTGCAGTAAACTTACAGCATGCTACTTGCATGCTGTAAATTTCTAGTATTGTATTCCCAACTTGATAATTTGGAATTAAGAAGATCCTTAAGTGAAGCCATTTTAATACGTAATTGAAATGCCAGCGAGTCTCACCTGTTGACTAGATGAGTGAGTGGCCTGAGGTGGTGACCCAGCAGTAGAAGCACGACCAGCCCAAGTTAGATTAGATATAGCAGATCCCCAAACACCTGCTGCTCCTAAACTCATATGGCTTACTGCAGCAGCCCGTTCTGCTGCTTCCTTCTCTTGCCGCTGTTGATAAAAAGTTACCTGTACTGTATACTGTATATCCATATCTCACATTATCTTTTTACAATGTTGCCTCTTGTCTTGCTGTAATTCCAAAATCAACCAACTACTAACGAAATAAGCAAAATGTCTTGAAAAATATCAGAATAGAAAAGACTGCACAGAGAAAATAGAAAACCAATGTTTTTAATGTACGCATAACTCATTAAACGCCAGGAAACGCCAGATTTCCTGGAAACTAGAGCGTCAACTAAATCAGCACTTGTAATGGGTCATTATAAGAGCATCTTTATGGAGAAGTGGTCCCTTTATGGTAATGTTTTTTTTACTGTAGTTACAATGTACGTATAGGTTTATTTGGTTACTTAATAAAGATAAGCATGAGGTAATTTTTTATTGTAAAGTTAATAATACATTACTGCAGAAAATATTGTGTACAGCATGTTAAATGTACTTACCAGTGCATGGAACAAACCTGTTTATGGCAAATGTGGCAGTGCTGATTTTGAATATTGTAGTTATTGGCAGAAAGATTGACCAAGCTGTGGCGCATCATCACCCTCAAATTATGCATCCAAAGTTAATTGGCGAGATCAAAGCTGCTGCTCCCAGAGCAGTTCTTTGTAGCATTAAAACTGTATTAACAGCAACTCTCTTCACTGCTTTGCTGCGGTCAAAAAATTGTCTTGTTCAGTTAAGAGATTTAGGTCATACATTATCTTATTAATAACAGCTGCTAAAAATCCTGTGGGGAAGTATCGGTCAGGTACATCATCATCTGTTAAGTTGCTGTCATCCTCAGAAGAATGGTGGTGTTCGGGCTTTTCTCTGGTGAGGCATGTCTGGCTAGACTAGAGCATCTTCTCCACACTGACCATGTCAACTCTGTCCACTCCTAGATGGTGGGCAAGGTGGATAATGACACTGGCAACCACTGCCTTGTTCTCTTCAAATCCTCAAGTTGTGACAAGCCTCTGACCAGGATTTCTTCCCACTATAGATTGAACAGCTGGTTATCACTTTATCAGATGTTGCAATGATGTTTCTAATGCCCTTCATAATGTTGAAGGAGTACAACTAATAATTGACTAATAATTTCCTTCAGTTCATTGAAGGTAATTCACAGGTACAGTAGTAAGTTCAAAATTGAAGTCACATTCTGATACACTGGTTGACTCAAAAATGCTTTGTTAGGTGAAAGGAGCACCACTTCTGAGTGAAGAACAGATCGTAGGATCTTTAAATTCTCAAGGTGCTGTAAGGTGTATCTTGTCAGCTAGGCTTTCTGGGAGGGCAGACATATTAAAATATGTCTTCGGAGCTCTTCAGAGGACCCCTGATTCTAGCCACCTGGATAAGCTCCACCTCAATCCACACCAGACCCTTGCAGTTACTGTAAACCCTACTGAAGACAATATGCAAAACCTAGCCCCCTCTATAGAGATGCACGGAATGGAGGATAATAAATCACTAACCAAGAAAAAGCCACCAGAAATGTGAGCGAGACAATGAAGACAATCAGCAAGTTAAACAGAATATAGAAAACGAGACATGAGACTGAAATGAATAAACCAGCTGACTGCTTCACAGTCACCTGTTAGTCACCCCTTCCACTACACATAAGGGGCATAACTGGCAGACCCCTCACAGTGTTCAAGAGAGAACTTGACAAACACCTCCAAAGGATACCTGATCAACCAGGCTGTGACTCATACGTTAGGCTGCAGGCAGCCATGTCCAACAGCCTGGTTGATCAGTCCAGCAACCAGGAGCGACGACCGGGCCACGGGGACGCTAAGCCCCGGAAGCACCTCAAGGTAACCTCAAGGTAGTTACCCCTGCACACTAAAGGTGCCCACATGCACCTGGCTCCTCCTCAATTCCCTAGCTTTGACCCATCAGTTACTTTGTCTGGTATGGCATATCAACACACCACAATTATGATGCTAACTTGTACAGGTGTATCGTAACCATAGTTACAAAATTTGCCTACAAATCAGGATATAATTAACACTTTCGCGCATCCAAGCAGACCGTCGTTGTCACCAATATTATTAATCACACCGCACGCGTGCTGCTCTCGGGAGTCACAAGAAAAAATATTTGTAGAAAATCCATTTATTATCCGATCAACTTGGGAATAGTTTACAAATGTTTGCCATGAAATTTACGTTTTCTCTAATAGCCGAACAGCTTATTAAAGAGAACGTCGTGGCAGTGAATTATCGTGGTAAAACAATTGTATTATTGACACGACGAGTATAATCGACGTAGTTTTTATATATGTTGCCGGTCAAACGCATCCTTATGTGACCTTTAATACTTATGTTCTTATAGAACATTCTATTGCGAGCACATTGGTACAAAAATGAAATACATACATCGACAAATAAAGTCAGGACAGTGAATTGAATATACACTTTTCAAAGCGAGTTTCGCCAATATGCCGCCGCGGGTAACACTTCGGCCACTTCCCACACTGTTTTGGGTGGGCTACGACATTGAATCTATATTTATATGCATATGTCCGTGTAGAGAATTTTATTGCGATTCCAATGATACCACAGTTAGCGATGTAGGACAACTGTAGGCTTCGCAACCATTAAGAGAGTGGAAACATTTTGTTGCTGTTTGGCGCTCTCGGCGAGTGATCTAAATAATTTTTATTTGGTGTTGATAGTCCTTATGCTTTGGCGGCATTTTATAGGTATGTTCTTATAGACAATTTTATTGCGAACACAGTGATACCAAATTTAAATACGTGCGCCTTCAATTATTGTCAGGACAGTCAAAAGAGTGTACACTTTTTCGGTCTTACCGCATAGGCGCGCGAACCGCCGAAAGCGCATAGGGTATGATTTTTTTTTGAACGCCGAGAGCGCGAAAGTGTTAAACGCAACACATGATGGTACATCATAACATTAACCTGGGGTTCAAGGTATGATAACTATACTCAGTTTTTTTTTTTTTTTTTTTTTTTTTTTTTTTTTTTTTTTTTTTTTTTTTTTTTTTTTTTTTTTTTTTTTTTTTTTGCTTATCCTATGTTGACAGTTTTATGCAATTTTGAGAATATTGAATAATTATATTTGATTAATAGTACTGCTAGACATCTTTCCAATTCCATGATAGTACAATTCAAAAATGAATAACACAAAGAACTTAGGTTTTAACGTTGTTCTTATACATAAACGTTGTTCTTTTCAGGTCAATACGAGTAATTCTTAAGAAATTGCACGGCACTATATAAAAAAATGTCTATGTTTCAGGTTAAGATAATACCCTGTTCTTGAGATGTTGAATGGAAATGTCAGAAGTTATCTATCGTGAAAACCTAATAATGACGCATTATTCAAATACACGCATGCAGAAGACATACAATATTAGAAGGAAAAGAAATAACTCCTGTATAATTCCATAGCCAGAAACATTTCTTTAAAGAGCTCATAACTACATCTAATACTTCCTTAAAAATAATAAATTTTATTTTTAAATGCTATTGATATATATTGCATAGCATTTATAATACTAAAATAAAAATTCAACAAATTCTAAATACAGCAGATCATACCTTTTTAAGTTCCTTTTCTTCCTCTGCCTGAATCTCCAAGAGAGACTTGACTGGCTGTGCAGGTGCAGGGCTCGCCTGAGCGCGTGCTGCCCACTTAAGACCAGAGTTCTTCTGGCGGGCCTCTTCTGCTGCCTGCCGCTGGGCTTCTCGCTGCCTTTGTTGTTGCACCTGAAGCTCAACTTCACGTTCCTAAAACAAAGAAATAAACAATCACATTCAACAATGAGCCAAGACTATTAAATGAAAAATCACCGTTAAAAACAGATCTTGCTCAATAACTGGTTCAGTGCCCAAAAAACAAACTATCGGGATGAATATACAACTGTAGCTTAAAACTGGCTCCAGCTCTCTGATCACACACAGTCAGGAAGTGTGTGAGCTATCTCAGGTAAAGTGGACCCAAAGGTGGGCATGGTGCTGTCATCTATTGGGTGGTTGGGGAATTGACTAGGCACACCTCCCACTGACAAGTGTTACAATGCAAGTGTTTGGAAGAGTAGTAATTATTCTTGAACTGACTTCTGACAATTATTTCCAGTCTGAATGAATTTATTGCCAGTGACCCCACAGAACATCAAGATCCTGTCTGACTTTACAACCTGGTTGATACCTGGTTGATGGGGTTCTGGGAGTTCTTCTACTCCCCAAGCCCGGCCCGAGGCCAGGCTCGACTTGTGAGAGTTTGGTCCACCAGGCTGTTGCTTGGAGCGGCCCGCAGGGCCACGTACCCACCACAGCCCGGCTGATCCGGAACTTCTCTTAGAAAACCGTCCAGTTTTCTCTTGAAGATGTCCACGGTTGTTCCGGCAATATTTCTTATGCTCGCTGGGAGGACGTTGAACAACCGCGGACCCCTGATGTTTATACAGTGCTCTCTGATTGTGCCTATGACACCTCTGCTCTTCACAGGTTCAATCTTGCATTTTCTTCCATATCGTTCACTCCAGTACGTTGTTATTTTACTGTGTAGATTTGGGACCTGACCCTCCAGTATTTTCCAGGTGTATATTATTTGGTATCTCTCTCGTCTCCTTTCTAGAGAGTACATTTGGAGAGCTTTGAGACGATCCCAATAATTTAGGTGTTTTATCTCGTCTATGCGTGCCGTATATGTTCTCTGTATTCCCTCTATTTCAGCAATCTCTCCTGCTCTGAAGGGGGAAGTGAGTACTGAGCAGTACTCGAGACGGGACAGCACAAGTGACTTGAAGAGTACAACCATTGTGATGGGATCCCTGGATTTGAAAGTTCTCGTAATCCATCCGATCATTTTTCTGGCTGACGCGATATTTGCTTGGTTATGCTCCCTAAACGTTAGATCGTCGGACATCATTATTCCCAAATCCTTGACATGCTGTTTTCCTACTATGGGAAGATTCGATTGTGTTTTGTACCCTGTATTATGTTTCAGATCCTCATTTTTGCCGTACCTGAGTACCTGAAATTTATCACTGTTAAACATCATGTTATTTTCTGCTGCCCAATCAAAAACTTTGTTGACATCTGCTTGTAGTTTTTCAATGTCTTCAGCAGAGGTAATTTTCATGCTGATTTTTGTGTCATCTGCAAAGGACGACACGAAGCTGTGGCGTGTATTTTTGTCTATATCAGATATGAGAATAAGGAACAGTAGCGGTGCAAGGACTGTACCTTGAGGTACAGAGCTTTTAACATCGCTTGGACTCGATTTTATCTGATTGACTGTTACTCTTTGTGTTCTGTTCGACAGGAAATTGAGTATCCAGCGTCCTACTTTTCCAGTTATTCCCATTGACCTCATTTTGTGAGCTATCACCCCATGGTCACATTTGTCGAACGCCTTTGCAAAGTCTGTGTATACAACATCTGCATTTTGCTTTTCTTCTAGGGCTTCTGTGATTTTGTCATAGTGGTTGAGTAACTGTGACAGACAGGATCTTCCCGCTCTAAATCCATGTTGTCCTGGATTGTGCAATTCATTGTTTTCCATAAAACTAGAAATTTGATTCCTAATCACTCTTTCAAACACTTTTATTATGTGTGATGTTAGTGCAACTGGCCTATAATTTTTTGCCAAGGCTTTACTCCCCCCCTTGTGCAACGGAGCTATATCTGCAGATTTAAGTGCTGCTGGTATCTCCCCTGTATCCAGGCTCTTTCTCCATATTACGCTGAGTGCTCTCGCTACTGGTACTTTACATTTCTTTATGAATATTGAATTCCATGAGTCAGGCCCAGGAGCTGAGTGCATAGGCATATTATCAATTTCTCTTTCAAAGTCTTCCGAGTTTGTGGTAATATCCGTTATATTATCTGCAGCTTGAATGTCATTCATAAAGAAGCTGTCTGGGTCATCAACTTTCATGTTGTTTATTGGTGTGCTAAACATAGCCTCATACTGGCTTCTTAGAATTTCACTAATCTCTTTGTTGTCCTCTGTGTACGTACCTTCATTTGTAATTAACGGTCCAATACTGGTCGAGGTTTTGGATTTTGATTTTGCGTATGTGAAAAAATATTTCGGATTTTTCCTTATCTCTTGTATAGCTTTCTGTTCCAATTCCATTTCCTCAGACTCATATGATCGCTTCAACGTTTGTTCTATTTCCTCAATCTCCCTGCTTAGGCTTGTTTTCCTTGCTTGTGATAGTTGTGTCTGCCGAAGCATTTCCGTTATTTTTTTCCTTCTCCTGTACAGTCGTCTCCGTTCTCTTTCTAGAGTGGTCCTCTTTCTGCCCCTCCTCACAGGTACGTGCTTCAAGCAGACCTTGTAAGCTTCAGCTGTCAGTTGAGCTATTCCCTGTGTGGGAGTTTTGTCGCTTAAGACCGTCTCTCATTGAATGGTTGCAAGGTCTACATTTATTTTTTCCCAGTCAATCCTCTTATTGTTGAAATTGAATTGATTGAATATTCCTTCTCGCTTGTTGGGTCTCTTAGACCTACTACCGTTATTTATGCTAGTTCGCACTTCAATGAGCTTATGGTCTGAGTATGAAGTATCTGAGATTGTGATATCCCTGATTAGTTCATCATTGTTTGTGAATAACAAGTCTAGTGTGTTTTCGTTCCTAGTTGGTTCTGTAATCTGTTGATTGAGCGAGAATTTGTCACAGAATCTCAAAAGTTCTCTAACCTGTGGTTGGTTATTTCCCGGGTCATTCCCTGCTATGATATTTGTGTTTGCCGTTCTCCATCTTAGACTCGGTAAATTGAAATCTCCAAGAAAGATAATATCTGGAGCTGGGTTTGCTAGGTTGTCAAGTATGTTCTCTATTTTGTGCATCTGTTCTGTGAATTCCTCAATCGTTGTATCTGGCGGTTTATATATTAGAATAATAATTAGGTTTAGTTTCTCTACCTTCATTCCAAGTACCTCTACCACCTCATTAGTTGAATTTAATAGTTCTGTGCATACCAGGTCTTCTTTAATATACAGACCTACTCCTCCATTTGACCTAGTTTTTCTATCACATCTATATAGATTATAATTTGGAATCCAGATTTCACCATCCATGTAATCTTTTGTATGAGTTTCCGTGAATGCCCCAAATATTGAGTTTGACTCTAATAGAAGGCCATTTATGAACTTAACTTTATTTCTTGACTTTGGCTTTAAACCTTGAATGTTTGCAAATATGAATGATTGTCCATATTGTGTGTCACTTCTGGAAGGTTTTGGTAGTTCTCCCTCCTCTCTACCCTGACCCAGGGTGTGTTGTTGTGGCAATGGTTTGTCCAGTTTTGGAAGTGATACTGGGGAGTGTGGTAGTCTCTGTGTAGTTGGGGGGTGTAGTATGTGTGGGCTTGATGAACTGTAGTCCAGTCTTGGGCATTTCCCCCTCTCCATCCGTACTCCTGACACGTTTCTGCCTGTCTGTTTCTCCCTCTGTTTGTACCTGCCTCTAAAAAATTTTCAGGGCTATTATGTTGGACTTCTTCTCTTATATGGCGCTGTGTACCTCTGACGTGGAAATTGGGGCAGTGAAGATCGTAGCATTTCCTCTCATTGACTGAGAGTGTGCATAGCTTAGGGTGAAAATATCTACACTCTGTATCAAAACGACATCTGCCTTTCCCTAACCAGTTTCGGCATTTCCGTGGGTGCATGAATGAGCATTCCGTGCCTCTGGGCCCATATCTACACTGTCCTTTTGCATAATACCAGCAAATATTTTCATTTGTGATTGTATTATTCTTGTTTGTACCCGTGCACGACTTGGCTACCTCTGTGTTTTTTGTTCCAACTTTCTCGTTTCTGCATTCATTCTCGGTATTGCCCTTATCTTTCTCCTTGTTGCTTTCGTCTTTCTCATTTGTGTTCTCATTCGTCTCATTTTTTCTCTCCTTATTCATATCACCAGTGTGCTCTACAATATTGCCTTCATTTTTGTGTACCTCGACACTATCCCAGCACCACCACTGGTCCCGGAGCACCACCACTGGTCCTGGAGCACCACCACTGGTCCTGGAGCACCACCACTGGTCCTGGAGCACCACCACTGGTCCTGGAGCACCACCACTGGTCCTGGAGCACCACCACTGGTCCTCCAGCACCACCACTGGTCCTGGAGCACCACCACTGGTCCTCCAGCACCACCACTGGTCCTGGAGCACCACCACTGGTCCTGCAGCACCACCACTGGTCCTCCAGCACCACCACTGGTCCTCCAGCACCACCACTGGTCCTGGAGCACCACCATAGACTGTTCAAGGACTGAGTAGGTTCTTACATGATGGACGAGTCAAATTTAAAACCTCTGAAATAAATGGTGTGAAATACAATCCTTGAGAGCTGCAATGTGGCATAGTAATAATTCTTTGAAAAGAATTATTACTCACCCGTCTCAAAAAACTCACCCTTCTCTCCTTCTCTTCTTGTGCCCGTTGTATATCAGCAAGAGATGGAGCAGGAATTACTTCAGGTGCTGGCACTGGTGGTGTAGCGTTCCAAGCAGGCAGAAGGTTCTTTAAGTGTTCCTGCAGCAGGTGTTGGTGGCGACGATCTTCTTCCTCAGCTTGTCTCTGCCTCTCTTCCTCTTCCAACTATAGTGAAAATAAAGCAAATATTAAATTAATTTTAACAATCAAAATATTTATCAATAATGTTATTGCTAGTTTTATTATTACTGACATGTAGCAAATGTTGAATTCATCATTTCAAGAAAATATACTAACTTACTGTTACCTATATTGATAACATTTGTTAGAAATGTTGGTACCATTGTTAATTATGATACACAATATATTCAACTATTTACCTATACATTTTATGCCTTCTTCAATATGTTAACTCCTGATTCTTATTCATGTAGTGGCTACATATAATATAACATCAGGAGAGTACTGGAGAACAAGCAGAGAATATATCTCGCAAGGCTCCGGGTCAAGGTGTCAGTGACCCAACAGGCAGCATGACGGAGGTAAAAGTGGCGACTGTCACCCGGAGACAAGGCCACAGCAACCAACGAACCCATACAAGACGGGCTGGAACCCGGAAGACACATTCAATGGTCCACCGAGCTCCGACAGGGGTTTCCAGGGCCCGTAGGGTAACAACTATGGGAAGCCTGGGCAAGGTGTTGCTAACCGGTTAAAATCCAAAACTAACAAGGGGTAGATGACAACACTGAAAACCCCTGCGACGTGTACAATCACGGGGGCCTAGCAGAGGGCCACCAAACACTACCAGTGGAACTATAGCCACACTAGGCAGACCCCCACCAGGCAAATGAAAATACTGTATAAACAAAAGAAAACCCCCGCAAAAGTACACCGTCTCCAGAGGCAACAGGAACCGGTCGCCGCTTAGGTGGCAGGTCACGCAACACCTTGACGCCCTAACCAGCACAATACCAGTCCCTACCCAGGGCCAAACATAGGCTCCAAGCCCCCAGCTGGCCCCAGGGGCTAGGCAAATGCCGAGTAGCAAGAACTTCTACGGGATTGGTTCCCGAACACCCCAGGGAAGATAACCCTGTCACGCAGGGGCAGTACTCACAGGGCGCTTTCGGAAGGAAGCCCCTAAGAGCATGCAGCCCCGGTACTGATGAGAAACACCTGGCCACCGCACAACACAACACACGGCAGTGAACGCCACGAAAGGCAAACACCGCCTAGGAAACTGTGGCCAGAGAAGCGATGTCTATCCCAGTTGACATTAGCTTATGAACTGATGCTAGGCAGCCGGCGTGGTGAAGTCCGGGGCTGCTTGATGGGGTTCTAAGAGTTCTTCTACTCCCCAAGCCCGGCCCGAGGCCCGGCTTGATTTGTAAGAGCTTTGTATTGGAGCGGCCCGCAGGCCCACATATTCACCACAGCCTGGTTGGTCCTGCACTTCTTGAAGAAAACTATATAGTTTTCTCTTGAAGATGTCCAAGGTTGTTCCCGCAATATTTCTTATACTGTACCGTACTCGCTGGGAGGATGTTGAACAACCATCAACCTCTGATGTTTATACAGTGTTTTCTGATTATGCCCATGGCACTCCTGCTCTTCACTGGTTCTATTCTGCATTTTCTTCCATGTCGTTCACTCCAGTATGTTGTTATTTTACTGTGTAGATTTGGGACCTGGCCCTTAAATATTTTCCACATGTACATTATTTTATATCTCTTTTGTCTCCTTTCTACTGAGTACATTTGGAGAGCTTTGAGACAATCCCAATAATTTAGGTGCTTTATCACATCTATGTATGTAGTATTTGTTCTCTGTACTCCCTCTATTTCAGCAATCTCTCCTGCTCTGAATTGGGAAATGAGTACTGAGCAGTATTCAAGACAGGACAATACAAGTGACTTGACTAGTGCAACCATTGTGATGGGATTCCTGCATTTGAATATTCTCGTAATCCATCCTATCATTTTTCTGGCTGACGCAATATTTGCTTGGTTATGCTCCCTAAATGTTAGGTCGTCAGACGTCATTATCCCCAAATCCTTTACCGTGCTGCTTTCCTACTATGGGCAATTTGATTGTGCTTTGTACCCTGTATTATGTTTAAGGTCCTCATTTTTAATGTACCTGAGTACCTGGAATTGTTCATTGTTAAACATGTTATTTTCTGCTGCCCAGTCGAAAACTTTATTAAAGCAGGAATTAGTGTAAGTTTTTAGCACTACATAAGAGACATAACCCTGTCCACACAAAATATTTCCCACTGCCAGGGTTCTTGACCAAAAGGAAACACTTGCTGCATCAGGGTTCTACACAGACCAGAATCCATTCCACTGTGGTTCCACTAAACTAACCTGCTGCATATGTCTCCGTTCTTCTTCTAGTGCAATTCTCCTCATCTCTTCTTGAATTTGTGCTTGTTGTCGAGCCGCCTCCTCTTCCTCACGTCTGAAAATACAGTATATAAAAATGACTTGCCTATCTGTTATATAAAGAACTTCTATTTCAAACATCAATAATACATACAGTATTTATTAAAATTTTGCCATAAACATAACATACAGAAAAGTATGTATATTGTGATTTTATATATGAAGTTTGTTTTCAACATTAGCAATACAAAGTCATCAAAACTGTGGCTTCTTTGATAATGAGAGAGATGTTTGATGCTTCACATCAGGTAACAGCCATTGTAGAAGGACTCAAACACATGAAAAATTGTCAAGTAATACTTTTAATTCATTGCTTTATATTTTAAACTCAAATCACTTTAGAAAAAATAGTTGGCAAAAGAATGAATTAGAAGTTTTCACAAGAAAACAAAGGAATTTATTAAACAAACTAACAGGCTTAATTTGCTGAGGAGTGCGCATCACCACCCTCCATGCAACTGCAGTCATTGTCACCGTACCTTCATATGGGATTTGTATACTTTTACAACACATACTAAATAAATCATTTAACCCTAACAAGAAAAAAAATTGGGCATGGGGTCTTTAGTACCCCACACCCCCAGTCACTTGCCATCTGCCTTTAGTACCCCCACACCCCCAGTCACTTGCCATATCTGTCTTTAGTACCCCACATCCCCAGTCACTTGCCATATTTATCTTTAGTACCCCACACCCCCAGTCACTTGCCATATTTGTCTTTAGTACCCCACACCCCCAGTCACTTGCCATATTTGTCTTTAGTACCCCACACCCCCAGTCACTTGCCATATCTGCCTTTAGTACCCCACACCCCCAGTCACTTGCCATATCTGCCTTTAGTACCCCCACACCCCCAGTCACTTGCCATATCTGTCTTTAGTACCCCCACACCCCCAGTCACTTGCCATATTTGTCTTTAGTACCCCCACACCCCCAGTCACTTGCCATATTTGTCTTTAGTACCCCCACACCCCCAGTCACTTGCCATATCTGTCTTTAGTACCCCACACCCCCAGTCACTTGCCATATCTGTCTTTAGTACCCCCACACCCCCAGTCACTTGCCATATCTGTCTTTAGTACCCCCACACCCCCAGTCACTTGCCATATTTGTCTTTAGTACCCCCACACCCCCAGTCACTTGCCATATCTGTCTTTAGTACCCCCACACCCCCAGTCACTTGCCATATCTGTCTTAAGTATCCCCCACACCCCAGTCACTTGCCATATTTGTCTTTAGTACCCCCACACCCCCAGTCACTTGCCATATTTGTCTTTAGTACCCCCACACCCCCAGTCACTTGCCATATTTGTCTTTAGTACCCCCACACCCCCAGTCACTTGCCATATCTGTCTTTAGTACCCCCACACCCCCAGTCACTTGCCATATCTGTCTTTAGTACCCCCACACCCCCAGTCACTTGCCATATCTGTCTTTAGTACCCCCACACCCCCAGTCACTTGCCATATTTGTCTTTAGTACCCCCACACCCCCAGTCACTTGCCATATTTGTCTTTAGTACCCCACACCCCCAGTCACTTGCCATATTTGTCTTTAGTACCCCCACACCCCCAGTCACTTGCCATATCTGTCTTTAGTACCCCACACCCCCAGTCACTTGCCATATCTGCCTTTAGTACCCCCACACCCCCAGTCACTTGCCATATTTGTCTTTAGTACCCCCACACCCCCAGTCACTTGCCATATTTGTCTTTAGTACCCCACACCCCCAGTCACTTGCCATATCTGTCTTTAGTACCCCCACACCCCCAGTCACTTGCCATATTTGTCTTTAGTACCCCCACACCCCCAGTCACTTGCCATATTTGTCTTTAGTACCCCACACCCCCAGTCACTTGCCATATCTGTCTTTAGTACCCCCACACCCCCAGTCACTTGCCATATCTGTCTTTAGTACCCCCACACCCCCAGTCACTTGCCATATTTGCCTTTAGTACCCCCACACCCCCAGTCACTTGCCATATCTGTCTTTAGTACCCCCACACCCCCAGTCACTTGCCATATCTGTCTTTAGTACCCCCACACCCCCAGTCACTTGCCATATCTGTCTTTAGTACCCCCACACCCCCAGTCACTTGCCATATTTGTCTTTAGTACCCCACACCCCCAGTCACTTGCCATATTTGTCTTTAGTACCCCACACCCCCAGTCACTTGCCATATCTGTCTTTAGTACCCCCACACCCCCAGTCACTTGCCATATCTGTCTTTAGTACTCTACAAACCCCCAGTCACTTGCCATATCTGTCTTTAGTACCCCACACCCCCAGTCACTTGCCATATTTGTCTTTAGTACCCCAACACCCCCAGTCACTTGCCATATTTGTCTTTAGTACCCCAACACCCCCAGTCACTTGCCATATCTGTCTTTAGAACCCCCACACCCCCAGTCACTTGCCATATTTGTCTTTAGTACCCCCACACCCCCAGTCACTTGCCATATCTGTCTTTAGTACCCCAACACCCCCAATCACTTGCCATATTTGTCTTTAGTACCCCCACACCCCCAGTCACTTGCCATATTTGTCTTTAGTACCCCCACACCCCCAGTCACTTGCCATATTTGTCTTTAGTACCCCCACACCCCCAGTCACTTGCCATATTTGTCTTTAGTACCCCACACCCCAGTCACTTGCCATATTTGTCTTTAGTACCCCCACACCCCTAATGTTTTGAATTTTTTATCCTCTCAGCCATTTTGCCAGGTTGTTTTCTCATTGTGTTGTGTGTGATGTGCCCAGTTCCCCGCCACCCCTCAGGAAGGATTCTGATGCCTGCTCCCAGTAGAACCATGAGAAGGCCCAAGATGCCTGGTGAGATGTTCAAAGACCTGGGGGGTACCAGCCTGTGCCCAGGCTGTGGTGCAGAGATGAGGCCACTCATTAAATAATCAACCCAGGTTTTTAACTCAAGTGAAAATAAACAAATAAGTAGTTTCACTAAAAACCCAGTGTTGAATGTAATGAAATGCCATTTTCTGGGTGTGACCTGGAGGCTCCCCGGAGCTATACAGGCTGATATGCTAATGTCAGACTTTGGCACCAGTTATGTGTATGGAGTTCTGTGGGCCTACCGGGGACCACGGCCAGAACCTGGCCCTCTCAGAGAGGCAAGGGGAGCAATGGCCTATAGAAATCCCCCGTGTGGTTGGAAGCATTCTATGTCTGCCATTGACCGGGTTGGGCACCCAGAAAGGTAGGCATCCCAAAACAAAACCCCTATTCTGGTGAAAATTGCAACCAAAAGCCGAACGAGTGGATAGAACTCCCCAAACAAAAACGAGCAAACTAGTATGACGTCATTCGTCATCACGCCGCTGTCTGCGCAGCCCCCCCTCCCCGGGAGGGGGAAGGGGGAGCCCCAGACCTACCACGCCGGCGATCCACACCCCAGTTTTGAGGCTGGATGTCAAAAACACTCGAAAAAAACGCCAACCGGAGGGAGGGATGCCGGGGAGCCTCCGGGACTAACCCCTACATCTCCTCGGAGCTAACTACCCACAGAGGAAAAGAAGAGGGACTGACCCGGGTGGAAGGCGGTTGCCGCACACTACTCAACCCAAAGTCGAGACAACAGGCCGCATCTGCCAACCCAAAGCGGCACAGACCCGACTGGGCCCAGGAACGTGTACAAGGGAATGAACAGCCAAGGATCCTGTTCGACCGTCAAAATCCCTGTGCCTGAACGTCCTCCCAAGACACAGTACCAAAGACGGCGGCAAGGACCGCGAACTTGCGGACGTCATGGGCACGGAGATAGACCGCAGGCAGGAGAGCCTGAAGAACCCCGCGGACAACCTGAGAGACCCGCACCCTCTAACAGGGAAGAACGGAACCGGAGCAGCCCAAATCGCGCCCATGGACCCAGAAGCTGTGGCGTGCCAACCATGGTGGAGAGTCGCAACCGAACAAAAACAAATGCACCCCCGGCCCAACTAACCAAGCATCAACAACCCAGGGACCCCTCCGGAAAGCAGCAGTCTCATCCTTCGCCATAAAAGAAGGAGAAGGCAGCAGACGACCAAACCGAATACCTCAACCGAAAAAGAGCCATCGAAAAACAAACCGGAACCGAAGGGGCCACAAGCAAACGAGAAGAAAGAAAAGAGCACTCTGTCCAATGACCAGGACGACTCAAGCTGCACAAGAACAGGCCGGAGGTGAAACAAGCACGAGGCAGCTTACGAACAGCGCAGATGAAAGTCCAAAAGCAAGCCGAAGCGGCTCCGCCAGCACCGCAGAAAACGAGGCAACAGTATGCAGCAAGTCGACGGTCCCCAACCCCCAGCAGAAAAGCCAAGCCGACACCAACAAACGCAGCCACCGAAGAAGGGACAGAAGGAAAAGGAAGGACCGCCAAAACACAACATACTGCCGCCAAGAAGCACACAGGTGGGACACCAACAACGAAGCCACCTGACCACCAACGAACTCGAGATCCCTGAGGCAGAACGTAATCAGCACTGCCAAGGGTCATCCGAGCCTAGGAAGAGGCGGAGCCGCAGGAAGATCTCGGGTGCGACCACCAAGGAAGCAGAGCCAGAAGCCCAAGCCGGCAAGGAGGAGACGGAACGTCTGCCGAACAGAAAACTTCCCAACACGAGCAAGCCCGCCAGGGGGATCGGAAACCACGGGTCCGACGTGAGACACCAGAGAAGGGACATCGCAAGACCCTGAAAAAAACCAACAGGCAGGGCAAGCCAGGAAAACAGGAAATCAAACCTGGCAACAAGAAGGCCAAAAGGCACAAACAACACACACAACAGTGTGAAGGAGGAAATGATAAAAAGACCAGCAGAAAGGCCCCAGCACCAGCGGCCAGGGACAAGAGTGAAGCAGGAAGACGAGAGGATGCATGAGGAAGGGAAGTGGCAGAGGCCAACCCCACACCCAGAGACCAGTGCTGTGAAGAGTCCAATAGGCTCCGGAACTTGAACAGAAAGCGAATAATAGGCGAGGGGCGAGACAAAGAGCCCAAGCTCATTCCCAGCCAGTACAACGAGGTTAGGACAGAGAATCCAAGGAACACGGAAAAACCAGGCCCGGCACAACAAGACCGGCAAGGAAGGAGGCCCCAGAAAAACAAGGGAACAAAAAACCCAAACAAGGAAGGCGCCAGAAGGAGCACGGAAGGGCTGAACAAAACGCCACAACCAGACCCCTACACGCAGCCGCAGTATCAAAACCGCAGCAAAACGTCACCACACTCCCAGAGGAAGTGACAGGGAAGATAAAGATAAACTGTAACACAAGTGGCACGCAACAAGGGGACACAGGTGGAAACCGAGTACCCAACCAAGCCACAGGTGCGTTAGAAGAAACGTGTGCAGGGTAACAGGCAATCGATGGAACACATTAGGCAGCCCACACCTGGGCTGACCCCATACACAGCCCCAAGTGCAGAGACAAAAGAGCCCAGGAGGCACAGAATCCACACGTCAGGCGAACGACAGGTGAGAGGCGGAACCAAAGAGCCAGAGCCCAACCTCACAAGCACAATTAGGCGAGCACAGAACACCCTCGACACAGGAAAATGTACCACCGAACAGGCACCTGCACCGTTGCACCGTGGAACAAGGTGGAGGCGGGGCCCCGAACTCAAGCATGGTTAGACAAGCAAAGGAGAGGGGCAGGATGAGTACAGGCAGGAGCCGCCTCGTATGGGCCAAGAGGCCTCCTGCAGTCACCTGTGATCCGAGGAAGGAATCGGGTGGTGAGAACAAGAGCTGCCACGTATGGGCCAATAGCCCTGCAGCAGGCACCTCGGTTTTTATGTTCTACATTCTCAAGTACGTATGTACACTCATTCCTACTCCCAAAAACAAAACAGTATCAGGACAAAGGAGACACCAGACAGCACCAACTCACCTGCAGAACATAGGCGCTGAAGGGCCATGGCGCAAGCCTATGAGAACGTAGCCACTGGAGGCGGCCAGGGCGCCCATCCCAGAGAGGAGGGGAGCGGCGAAGGAGGCTCCCCCCCACCCAAAAACGCAGGGAAAAACCTCGTGACTTCCCCACAGCGGCACTCCAGAACACCCCCAAGAGCAACGGGGCATGGACTGGAGAATAAGAGCGAGAGGCGAAGCCCCCCCGAGATAAAATGGACACAGAACACCAGCACATGTGCACACCGCCCGGAACCAAAACAAACTCCCATGGCGCATGCGCAGGACACGAAAGAAAAGTAGCCCAACAGGTTGGACTACACAGGTCCATCCTACTCCATCCAACAACAGAGCAGAAAACTAGCTCAACGGGTCGTATTCCGAGCAATCCGTTGAAGAAACAGGCCAACTCCTGGAAACAGAAGCCAACTTAGCCGGCTCATGTAAGGAAAACAACAAACTGAAACGGAACCCAAGAGGGCCACCAGTAGCCCAACATGGCGACAAGTAGCCCAATCCGGCTACAAGTAGCCCAATCCGGCTACAAGTAGCCCAATCCGGCTACAAGTATCCCAATCCATCTACAAGTAGCCCAATCTGGCTACAAGTAGCCCAATCCGGCTACAAGTAGCCCAATCCTCCTACAAGTAGCCCAATCCTCCTACAAGTAGCCCAATCCTCCTACAAGTAGCCCAATCCTCCTACAAGTAGCCCAATCCGGCATCCCGGACCAGAAAGGAAGGAAAATGAGCAGTGCCGAGATACAGCGCGGAGAGAAGAGACATGAACAAATGAACGAGAAGGCCAAAACCCTAGAAGCTGCCCGGAATAGGACCCGAGGGAAGCCCCACCGAACGACGACAGACGTACCAATAAAACGGGAAGGAGCAAAACCGTCTTGAACCTTCGAGAACATAGAAGCAAACACAAAGGATGAAGGCACAGAAAAACCTAGTTGCACCCGAGACCAAAAGTTATGCAGAACCCCAAGAAGAGGGGGGGCATGACGGAGAAGTCCCGTCCCGGGAAAAGGGGGCGAAGAACGTAAAAAGCACCCACCGACAGGACGGAAGCAACGGGCATAATGGACAAGGAACCGAGCCCTGGGGAGGGGCCGACGCCCAATTACTCGTGTGGAGAGGGGGGATGGAAAAACCCCACTCCACAAAACTGCAAGCCCCGCCCAGAGGGGTAGAAAAACCCCGGTGGGGACCAATTAGCCTGAGGCCCCCCACGTCAGCCCCATCCCAGCCCCGGGAACCCACCCGGCAGGCCCCGGGGCCGAACTGTCCCCCCAAAGCCCCAGTCTCAAGAAAACCGGGGCAGCCGTGAAAAGCACTAAGGAAAGGAGCCCACTGGCAGACTCTTACAACACGGCTGGAGGAAACAGGCTCGAATCCCCCCCGTCGCTACCCCTGAAGGGGAAGTCCCCGAGACCAACGAGTCTCAAAACCATGGAAGCCCCGCCCCGACCCCAAACCCACAGACGGGAAAGACCCGGATGTAGGGAGGAAGGGGGAGGAGACCCAACAAGACCACCAATGAAAACGGGGCAGCCTCGGGGCTTCCGGGGAGCAAACAATTAGCGCGTTAGCACTGAAAACCCAATGTAATTACCTAAGTGTAGTTACAGGATGAGAGTTACGCTCGTGGTGTCCAGTCTTCCCAGCACCCTTTGTCATATAACGCTTTGAAACTACTGACGGTCTTGGCCTCCACCACCTTCTCACCTAACTTGTTCCAATCGTCTACCACTCTGTTTGCGAAAGTGAATGAATGTGCAATGCCCGTGCAGCCTGCACTCACATAGTCAGCATAAGACTGGGTAACCGAGTCACAAACAAGCAACAAAACTCACAGGACCCCGGGCCAAAGGTGTCACCAACCCCACAGGCTGCAGACGGAGGCAAAACCATGAGAGTCACCCTGAGACAAGGGGACAGAGCAACCCTCGAACTCGCACAAAGCGAGGGTGGGACACCGGGGCCACATCTATCGGGCCCACACTCCCCCTAGGCGTTTCCCAGGGTCCCTAGTGTTTACTATAAGAGGACTCGCGCTCAGGTAATCCCAGGTAGGGTACTTCTAACCGGCGCCTTTGGCTACCAAACAACATTCTAAGAGCTGAACCCCCGGGACCTGTACACTCACAGGGACCTAGCAGGGGGAACCACTGGAAGAAGAAAGAGAACTCGACACAAAGGAGGAAAGAACCAAAGGCAGAGCCGCCACCAGGTAAACAACAAAAAGAAAAAGAAATCCCCGCAAGAGGACAGCGTACTCAGGCGGAACAGAGCCGACCGCTATGATTGGTGAAAACAAGCTGCGCAGCACCCTGCGCCCCACCAGTGCAAATTGCCCCTTACCCGAAGGCGAACAAGGGAGACAGAACCGCCAATCACACAAAGGGCGGCCGAAAACCGAGCAGCAAACAGCCTAGCAGAAGCAGGACCCAAGGAACTTGTGGAAGGTAACCCCAAGCCCCAAGGGCAGTACTTACAGGGCACCAAGGGAAGGGAACCCTAGGCGCATGCAGCCCGCGTACTGGAGACTCACTCCCGGCTCACGCACCACCTAGAAGACAGACACCACACTCTAGGTACAGTGCTGAAACAACCACTGGAGCCAGAGCACACAACCGCTGCCACTAGGTTAAAACTAAATGGATAGAACACCTGGAGAGAAATGATATAATATCAGACAAACAGTATGGTTTTCAATCTGGAAGATCCTGTGTAACGAACTTACTTAGTTTTTGAACTTACAAAGCTTGGTCAAGGCACACCTCACAAAGCTTGGTCATGCCACACCTCACAAAGCTGGCTTGTCATCTCCCCAGCCCTACAGCATAACAATATCACAAACCTTCTCCTTTCTTCCTCTTGCCTCTTTCTTTCTTCTTCTTGTTGCCTCCTGGCTTCTTCTTGTCTCCTAGCTTCTTCCTTCCTTTTGGCTGCCTCCTCATGCTGTTGCTGTTGCTGAAGCTGCTGCTGTTGCTGTCGCCTGAGCTCCTCTTGCCGTCTCAGCTCCTCCTGCCTTCTCTTTATTTCTGATCTTTGTTGGTCCTGTGTAATTAATAACATTTGGAATTATTAGCATTGGATGAATGACCATAAAATAACACTTCATTGTATATGCTAGTATGTGTGTGTGTGTGTGTGTCACAAACTATATTTAAAGGATGTTTCCAACAATACCTTTTAAGCCTGCTACATCTATATTCAAAACTTTTCCTAATATACTTCTCCCTTGCACCTTTCAATGTGCTTCTTGTCTTCAATTCATTAGCCATTTTCATAGTGAAGTCTTTGTTGCCCAAGATGGCAATTAAATGAAAACTAAGTGAGTCTGCTACAGGCAACTGATGGCTTTAACTGGGGATTCTTGGTCTGTTTGAAAGTTATTAGAAAGCATTTTTAACCACCGTGCTGCGCTGAGTTTATTGTGAAATTCTCCCGGTACGCATATCTTGAGGTTATCTTGAGGTTATCTTGAGATGATTTCGGGGCTTTTAGTGTCCCCGCGGCCCGGTACTCGACCAGGCCTCCACCCCCAGGAAGCAGCCCGTGACAGCTGACTAACACCCAGGTACCTATTTTACTGCTAGGTAACAGAGGCATAGGGTGAAAGAAACTCTGCCCATTGTTTCTCGCCGGTGCCTGGGATCGAACCCAGGACCACAGGATCACAAGTCCCGCGTGCTGTCCGCTCGGCCGACCGGCACTTAATGAAATAAAGTGTTCCCAAAAAATTATTTTTTCTTTGTAAAATGATAAATTCCCTTCCCTGAACATGTCTATGTAAAAATAAATACCAAATTCCAGTTACTTTGGCTGTGGGGACATGGACAAGGTGCGCTGTGACGTCATCAGGGCCTGGTGGCCCGTGCGTGAATCACCCAGACAAGGTCGCGCGGGCCATTCAAGCACAGTGTGTTGCCACAAATATATTTTCAATTATTTGTTGTATGTATTTCCAATGCGGTTTTGTTTGTTTTTTTATTGTATATGATGCATATTTGTGACCTTTACAATATGTATACAGTAGAACGTTCATAATGTTCCATGGAACTGTGATACATGTGTCAGTAATGTGTCCACAATAAATGTTTATTGTCGCAATATTACCTGTTAAAAATTCACTAAAATTACAATATGTACAGTTTCACGCACTATTTACACAGTAACACACTGTATTACACAGTACTTCGGAAGTGAGCAATAATCAAAGTAGTAGTCCATGGTACACAGCGCGACTTTGCTCTCGGTGCATCAGGTATAGATAAATTTTCGCTTCCCGTTTCTTCATTCTGTGTGGTTGCAAATAACGCACTCACGTACATCCTTGGCTTTAGTACTTGTATGTTGTATGTAGCCAAGCTTGTAAAGCATAAGGTAGTATTGAAAAGATTATAGGAAAAGATAAATTTGTAAGGTAGTCTTGAAAAGATCATTTTGTATGGCCCCACACAGGAAGAAATTCTGCTTGCCTCAAAGAGTGTCCGTCAGTCAGAAAGAGATTCAGCTAGCCTCAAAGAGTGTCCGTCAGTTAGGAAGAGATTCAGGTAGTTTTTGAAAATATCCATGGAAACCACCACCATGGAAGCCGCTAACACAGTTCATCTATGCTACTTGTATCAGATACATCATCACTGAACGCAGAAAACGATTCATCTATGTATCATCTAAATAAATTGAGATAGCATAGGATTGCAGGGGTGACGCTCAGAGCTACAACTGGATACACTCGCTGTATCGTCCTCATAGGTGCTGTATCACTTGCATCCAACCTTTGTGGTCCTTATTGTGCCTAGCTTCACCAATATTATGACCCTTATGATCTTCAAACAATAAGGTTTGAATTTCACCGACAAAGCGTTATCTTTCAACACCGCGTCGAACAGGTGTTTGGGAGCCAGAGGCGTGTGCGCCACCCATGGTTGCTTATTCAGTACTAACCCAGCCAGCAGCCCTAGGGCATTCTGGGAATTTTTTCAAAGATGGCTGCCTCTCACTGGAGATCCTAAGAGTCCATTTCGTACACAACCAACCTTGTACACATTTAGAATTGGTACCGAAAAATCAAAGAGTTTTCTCGGTTTGCGCAGTTTTCCGCCGACCGAGAATACTCGGTTGGCGCAGTTAAGGGGTTAAACACGCATGCCAAAACTTTCCTTCAAAACTCATCGTAAGTTTGTTAAGTGGCTAAATACCTTTTAATATTTCTTTTAAAAAGTTAGGTTTGGTTAAGTAGCACTGAATGGTTATGTTTAAATAGTGGTCCTAAATATGTGTACTGTATTTTGTAATTATATTAATTAAAATATTTACAAGATGACACAATAGGTTTTGCAACTATTTTGGTGAGTAAAGATATATTCTTGCAAAGCCATTGAATAAAACTTGAAAACTTAAATAGGAGGGGAGAATGGGGTTGAGACGCATGCTGTTACTTCATGCTGCTAAGCATTCACATGGGAGGGTGGCTGGGCACAAGGGATTCCAACATGATGAGAAGGTGACAGCCACTCCAGGCCGATGCCCAGGATATAATGATGCCCAACTTGGTTACATGAATTCCTGCTGACCGGTTTGCCTGCCTACCTGCCAACTGACCAGCTTGCCTGCCAACTGACCGGCTTGCCTGCCAACTGACCAGCTTGCCTGCCAATTGACCAGTTTGCCTGCCAACTGACCAGCTTGCCTGCCAATTGACCAGCTTGCCTGCCAACTGACCAGCTTGCCTACCAATTGACCAGCTTGCCTGCCAACTGACCAGCTTGCCTGCCAACTGACCAGCTTGCCTGCCAACTGACCAGCTTGCCTGCCAACTGACCAGCTTGCCTGCCAACTGACCAGCTTGCCTGCCAACTGACCAGCTTCCTGCCAACTGACCAGCTTGCCTGCCAACTGACCAGCTTGCCTGCAACTGACCAGCTTGCCTGCCAACTGACCAGCTTGCCTGCCAACTGACCAGCTTGCCTGCCAACTGACCAGCTTGCCTGCCAACTGACCAGCTTGCCTGCCAACTGACCAGCTTGCCTGCCAACTGACCAGCTTGCCTGCCAACTGACCAGCTTGCCTGCCAACTGACCAGCTTGCCTGCCAACTGACCAGCTTACCTGCCAACTGACCAGCTTGTCTGCCAATTGACCAGCTTGCCTGCCAACTGACCAGCTTGCCTACCAGCTTGCCTGCCAACTGACCAGCTTGCCTACCAACTGACCAGCTTGCCTGTCTACCTGCCAACCTACTTGCCTGCTTGCCTGCCAAATGGGCTGTAAACTAAGCAGCTTGCATGAAAGTCAAGGTGCAGAGTGCAACACCATTTCATTCATACTGTACCATATCAGTTATATCAAGCCATCCAAATTAAAAATTTTATCCAAATTTTTAGGGTATTAAAAGTATCAAGGCAGAACACGAAACAATGGGTATAAATTGGATAAGTTTAGATTTAAGAAAGACTTGGGTAAATACTGGTTCGGTAACAGGGTTGTTGATTTGTGGAACCAATTACTGTGTAACGTGGTGGAGGTGGGGTCCCTCTATTGTTTCAAGTGGGGGTTGGACATGTATATGAGTGGGATTGGGTGGTTATAAATAGGAGCTGCCTCATATGGGCCAATAGGTCTTCTGCAGTTACCTTTGTTCCTATGTTCTTAAATCATTTTACCATAAATAAAATACAGTAAATATATGGTTTCCTAATGCCAGGGACAACACATAAGAGAAAAGTTGCGCCATACTTAATAAGTGAGGGAGTGTTTTGGTCGAAATGTGCAGTCAATAGCAAAATGTTTTCTGCTAGATAATGTTTTCCCAATTTTCTTGTCATAACAAATCTATCCACACATAAATTCTCATCTTAAAGTGAAAGATTTGAGAAATAAAATGCATATTAGCCCCTGGGCTGCATAGCTATTAATAGCTGACAATCCTCCAGTCTGCAAGAATAAAAATGTTCCTTCAAATATTGTTAAATGCATTCCCTGATGACAGGTAAAATAAATCAATCAATTGTATGCGAGATACGTTGACCATGATGGGGCCAGGAAGGCTGGCAAGAGACAGATGCTAACAGAGTACACACCCGGGTCTGTCTGCTTCACCCAAGCTGTGTGGTGGAACCTTGCCACATAGATATTATTTATTAATTACTTCAATGTCTTTGCTTTTTTTTTTGCCTTTTCCAGTACAGTAATATTATTCAATAGAGTGTGTGTAAATTTATATAATAAAATATGTGGACTATTGCTATACATAAAAATATGGTGTGCTTATTACTTATGGTTATATATTCTTACAACAATAAAACAATGTTTTTGCTGCTAATACACTGCATATACACGATTTGTATATATAACTATCTACATTTTCATTTACCATTATGAATCACTAAGAGCTTCTGGCGAGTGTAATAATCACGTACTGTATTTATCTGGAACTGGTCATCAGAGTCTGGCCTAGTCATGCATATTTTGCACTAAATTCTAACAGCACACATTGAACATTTATTATTTTCTTCGTATGTTTAATAATTTTACTGTGGATTTTTCAAGTGCAATATTGCATTGGGCTGTCAATAACATTATTTGTATCATAGAACATATGGAATATTAGTACACACACACACACACACACACACACACACACACATTCACATCACTAATATCAGTTAAATATTATATTCTTTGAACAATAAAAATACTGTCTTTGCTGTTATTGCACCATATACACAAGTTAATATAACTATAGTAACTCTCAGAAATCACATTAAGATGATATATATATACCAATGAGAAAATGATCACTACCACTAGACCAGCGATGGTCTAGTGGTAGAGTATGAGGCTTGGCATTGCCTTGGTCATAGGGTCACGCTCACCTCATTGACCTGGTGGATTTTCTCACTATCTACATGTGTATGCACCATAATGAACCACTAAGCTCAGTCTAAACAGCATTGCACCACCAAACACTAGTAAGCTTACACTGCTTAAGACCAAAGGGACCTCGGGACCAAAGAGCCAAAGCTCAACCCCCGCAAGCACAATTAGGTGAGTACTGCTATGATGTTACTGTGAACATCATAAACAACATTGTGTTCACTGATGTCTGAACATTGTACACAGTCTATCAAAGTCCTATGATCAGGAGTGCATTTAAAACTTTAAATTCACTTTATTATTATATCTTCAATGTACCTGAATTTTCCTCTGCTCCTCTTCCTCCTTCCTCATTTTCTCTTCTTCAATTCTCCTAATTTCTTCTTGTCTTCTCAACTGCTCCTCTCTTATCTTCCGTCTTTCTTCTTCTAGCCTCTGGGTCTCCTCCTCGTGCTGCCGTCGGAGAGCTTCTAAATTTCTTCGCTGCTCTTCTTGTCGCTTAAGTTCTTCTTTCAATCTGGTGGAAAATACTTAGATATTAAAAATAACTGCCTAATGCTTAAACATAAGAAAAGTGCTCTAATTCATGCAATAACAGAAAACAGATTCCAAAGTTGGCAAGTCCCGGCTGGCACAGAAATAGTTGGGCGCATTTCCTTTCACCTCATGCCCCTGTCCACCTAGCAGTAAATAATAGGTACTCAGGAGTTAGTCAGCTTATTGTGGGGTTGCCTCCTGGGGAGGGCAAATAATTTGACCCTGGGGGAAAACCTCGATATAAGCCAAACATGTACTGCATGTATAACCTGGCTTCCTGTCCCAAACACAATTAATTAAAATATTTAAGTACTCTAGAAAGTATTACATATAAAAATAAGAAAATATAAAACTGAATTAATGAAAAGTTTTCTTACATAAGAAGTAGCAATCAGGTTGACTAAACTTCACAAGCTATATAAATCCATAGATCAACACACACTTGTATGAGAAAAACTCATGATACATTGATGACAAAGTTTAGTTTAGATCATTTATTATGCACCCCTAAACCCATCCAGGGAATGATAGTAAAGATTAGAAGCACATAATGAGACAAAGGACAATGACAAGTTTATATACTCTACACAGAACTAATTTATAAAGAACATAAATGTAAATCCTACCTAAGTTCCTCCATCTTTATCCTTTCTTCTTCTGCTCTTTTGTGATCTTCTAGTCGTTTTCTCTCTTCTTCTAACCGCTTCTGATCTTCTTCACGCCGACGTTGTTCCTCCTGAAAGTTATAGCCATACACAGAATTCAGAAATAAAGGAGTTCACTGGAGCACAAACATCTTAACATAAAATTTGGAACCTTGATCATTTGCATATTCTTTTTCAAATCTGCTATAATATTCCCAAGCCAGGAGCTAATTCATCTATCATGTAACTCCAAAATTAACCTTTATATTACACTGCAACCATGATTCAGCAAACCTTGCTTTGGCAAATCTCCGGTTGCAATGCACACTTTGCTAGGACGTGACACAGTAGTAGGAAAAAACAGCAGGTCTCACCTGGCTTGAATGGATGATGAGTGGAACTTCAACAACCTGGTCAAAACAGGCACTTACACATTTATAAGGGCATTCAGAGATGCACCAAAGGAAGATCAAAGGTGGCACTAATCTCAAAAAGTATGGCAAACAAAATACCACTCATTAGAGAGGGGCAGGGTTGTAGACTAACCCCAAGCTGAGTCAGTCACCAAAGGCCCCTACTCTGACATGTCCGATGCCCTGAATGCCTCATCTGCCAGATACAAGGGACCTAGGGACCAAGCCCAACTCCACACCAGAAACAGAACTCAAAGCCTAAGAAGAAAGTGAGGGAGAAAGAGTACCATCTACAGTACTGAAGTCTGTCACCATGAAATAAAGAGGCACCTAGATCTAATAAAGAGGTGAAAAGAGAGGAAAGGTGACAATACTTTGGCAGTCTCCACTGACCCAAACGATATCTCAAACAATGGTGGAGAACCAAAGTCACCTTCCGAGAACCTCAAACACCTACGGAATCAAAAGTAGCCTCAAGATGTATAAACTCAACTCTCTACTCGAGTTTACAGCTAAGATCTCATGGCAGTTTTAAAGGAGAGACAAAGGTGTTCAACTTTGCAGAAACAACAGCCTGTGGTAGAAGGTGCCTATAATGAATGACTTTATCTAGACAACACACCATTGCTTAAAAAACTGCTACCTGAGATGGGAGCTCTGCCAAAGGAGATGATCAGCAACAGTAGCATGCACACCAGGAAGAAAGCCCCTGAATCAAGCAGAAGTGACAGAAATCACAAGGTTGTTTAATAATGCTTTGAACAGGTTGGAGAATTCATCAACAACTCCACCAGAGATGATGAAAAGAAAATGGCTGTCTCAATGCATAGAACAAGAATCCGTATCAAATTTTCCTTCAAATACACTGCAAAGCTGCAGGTAGCACAGAATGGGTCTGAACCAAGTGGAGGCTTTAAGACAACTTAAACAATAGTAAAACAATATTTTCAGTGAATGGGACCTCATTCCCATTCATTGAAATGAATGGGAATGAGGCTTCCTTTGTGAGGAAAAGCCAGGGAACAGACCTGTGTGTTACCGGTAACTGAATAGCAAACTCAGTCAACAAGCAACAAACAGCTCAAAGTACAGTACCTCCTGGAACAGGAACAGACACAAAAGGAATCTATCTGTCACCTAAGAGGCGGCAACTCTGGTGGCTGATGGTCCTTGCTAGCAGCACAAGGGAAGATAACCCTGACTTGAATGCTCTTTATACAGAATGAAATATTTACATGCAAAATGATGAGTAGAATAAAATATCCATCTCTTATGGTTTTCAGAGCTGTAGGAGGAAGCCAAATGAATGTGTTAATCAACTTCACAATGGAAAGCAGTGGAAAAATAAAAAAATAAAGCAGCATCAGTCCATTCTGAAAGCAGCACCCTACAGCTTTAATAAAAATCCGAGGTTTGAAGGTTTTCCATCAAACAGTACCAGGAGATAACCCTGAAAAAACACACACAGTCTTCAGCTACAGTCAGTGATGCACAAAACACTGATTATACACACACTAAAACTAACCAGAAAGCATGAAAACCTCGTGTTGAATAAGTCTCAACACAAACTAGCCCATTCATACTGACCACTACAGAGCCAAGTAAAAGGAATGGTGTGTGCTAGGCACAAAGTAATGGTAGCTAACAAAGCACTAATTTGCAAAGATACTTGATGATCTGGAAGGGCAGTCATGAAAGATTAGCATGAACATAATAGTCCTAGGAAAACAACATTGGCTTTGGCTCAGGAAGCATTCACTTGCCTCGGCTCACAGTTCCCATGAAAAGTGTAAAGCATCCCTGCATGGGATATATAATTACTTATGAAAGCAATGACAAATGTGGATATGACAACTCTGATCAACGTACTAAATACCTTATACTTCCTATGTATGAAGTGAATCAAGACAGAACATTTTCAGTTCAATCATGGCTATCCCCCACCTTTCCATTTACATTAATAATGCACTAATGTCCTGTGAATTAAATTACTGAAGTGAAACATTTCCATGCATTCCATATTTAAGACTATTCATAAATACCTCTTCCTTCTTGGTAAGTTCATCACAATAGCATCGGTTACCATTAAAATTTCCCTAATTAGCAATCAGCTGATTAATATTAAGTAACTAATTAATAACCTGTGTAGCAACTCAATGTTTTAATAATGGTCCAAATCTATTTACCTGTATTTGATCTGGGGTCGGCGACTGCATCTTCGATAGCTGTTGCATGAGAGACTGGATGGCATCAAACTGCTGTTCGGGAGGTTTGTCCATGGCTGGAACAGCTGGGGCTGCTGCTACTCCAAGGGCCCCAGCTGGCCCTCCCATTGGTCCCATACTTGTCTGTTGACCCCTCTGCAGCTGCACTAACAGCTTCTGTAATGGGTTCTCTGCAGTCATGGAAGTTGCTGCGAGCTGAGAGGTCAACAGCCCCTCACACGAGCTGGTTAACGGAGTACTGTTTGCAGCAGAGGACGTTTGCTGAAATACATTAATTGGCTCATATACAATAATCTATTTATATTAATTATTTTATTTATTTTCAGAAATTAATTTATTTGAATAGAATGAAGACTTAAGATATTGGAATGAATCTGTTTCTCTCTCTCTCCAGTTATTCATAATTAATATGAACATACAGTATCGTACTACTTTGTTTCATAATTTAGGCATAATTGTTAGTGATATATTAACGTAAAAAAAATAGTGGAGCATTAATTAGAGAGAATTTTAGGGGCAATTTTTTTTTACTGTTTGTGTAAAACAATGTTGTGAATATGTATACATATTTGCACACAGTCAAAACCTTGCTTTAAGCAGCGATGCAATTTCTGGTGTCTGCACACTTTTTGACCTCATTTAATTTTGTTAGCACTTTGCCAGAGAAATGCAAAAAATGTCAAATCAGGGAAATAGGGCTTTTGCTCCATCAAATGACATACATCCATAAACTGTACCTAAAAAAAACTTTCCCCAAGTTGTGTCAAATTCTCCAAAAGTCCACTTTTAAGGCATTGTTTTGTTGGCCTTCACTTCTGGATTTCAGGTTGGGGAGCTTCATGGTTGCCTCCTGAAGCCCTGAGCATTGTTCTTTCAGCCATGATGACCATATTCTTTGTGGCTGCCTTCTTTTCTGGATTATTGGTTCATGTTGACCAAACCACACACTAGAAAGTGAAGGGATGACAACATTTCGGTCTGTCCTGGACCATTCTCAAGTCGATTGTGATTACTTTAGCCACGTTATTGTGACTCATAGCCTGCATATTGATTCATGGCTTGTTAGGCCAATGTGCATTATTTACTTTGTCAGAATGACACCATTCGTCGCTACTGGCGCACCTCCCCAGGTTGTTTTGAGGGGGGGCAGTCTTTGTTCTGGCGCATCACCCAAGCTGATGCCTCGTAGGGGCTAGGAGGCTTGGGGCCTCGTAGCCTGGTGGATAGCGCGCAGGACTCTTAATTCTGTGGCGCGGGTTCGATTCCCGCACGAGGCAGAAACAAACGGGCAAAGTTTCTTTCACCCTGAATGCCCCTGTTACCTAGCAGTAAATAGGTACCTGGGAGTTAGTCAGCTGTCACGGGCTGCTTCCTGGGGGTGGAGGCCTGGTCGAGGACCGAGCCGCGGGGACACTAAAGCCACGAAATCATCTCAAGATAACTTCCTCAAGATAACCTCAAGATAACTTCCTCAAGATAACCAAGCTGTTTTGGGGGGGGACAGTCTTTGTTCTGGCGCATTACCCGGGCTGCTATGGGGGAGACAATCTTTGTTGAACCCATCTGTGTGGTTCCCATTCCAAAGCTCATTAATCTAGGGTCATCTATAATGTCATATAATGTCATTATAATGAGATAATGTCATCTATAATCCAGCCAACCTGAGGTCTATCCTCAGGCCCATAATGTTCGAAAGCTTGCAGCTTTACCACTGTTTTCTTATAGGTGGACTGATATGGATTAATGGTAGGGCTAAATGGTTTTGGTAGCCTAGCAGAGTTTTGGTAGTTTGCAGCCTGGTCAGCATTGGGCTTGTGTTGCTTTGGATGGGATTTCCCATCCTGGTCTCTTCTTTTTCAGGGTGTTAATCTTTACTCTCCTCCCCTCCTCCCTGGTAAGTCCTGGTTTCCTTCTGCTCCTGATTAGTTAACTACAGGTAGCCACCATTTAACCCCTCCAGAAATCACAGGTATTGAATGTAATGAATCGCCTCTTTGGGTTGGGCCTCGGTGGCTCCCAGGTCCCCCACACCCTACCATGCTTGCCAGGTGTGTCGGTTTGTTTTCTTAGGCTCTAGCCTGAGGACTGTTGACAAGGGGAGCCAGCAGCTCCTGGTGGTGCTGCTATATGGCAGTGGCCAGCTGTATTTAGGAGCAGGAACTGACCTTAGCTGCTGGCTGGTGGATAGTTTGCAGACTTTTGCTGCTGCTTTTCTTTACTTTAGGTAACCCTTGCAGTTGTTTGTTTTGCTTCACTTACTTTCTGGATGTTTCTTCAGAAAGGGTGAGGTTTAGATCCTTGGGTCCATGTGCCTGTGTAAGGGAGGGGGGCCAGATTCTGGATCTGGTAGGTTATTAAGGATACTTGATGATGTGACACGTACGTACGTACGTACGTGTGCGTGCATGTGTGGTGGGAAGGGTGGGGAGGGGAGTTATCTCTGGGGGGTGGAGTGGAGGGGTGTAGCCACCCACCATTCACACCCTCCACAAATATTCGTGTTCTTCTTCTTGTCTTATTTTGTACACCTAAATATTGCTGCAGTCATTTCATTGATATCATTGGAAAGACCAAAAGCTGTACAGTATATGGTCGATGAAAAATATATACATATGTTCCCTAATAATAAAAAATCACGAGTCAAATTTTTTAACCAAAATAATTTATTGCATAATAAAAAAATCCAAATATTTTTTATAAATTGTGTAAGTCTTACTAATTTTGGTGACATCTTTACAAAGGTCATCAAAATGAGATGAACACTAACAGAGAGGTGCAATAACACACCTTAGTTTGAGATTTGAATATGTATGCCAAATATGTCGCAGCATTATAAATCCTTAACAATAGGTGTGTTTACACAGAAAATATTAGCCACTTGCTATAATTGCCAGTCAACCGCAACTTAAAAAATAAAAATAACAATTAGAATTGAACAAATTGTTTCAAGTAAGGCTCAAAATGCAGCTAATAATTTAAGCTTTAAAAAGCAATAAAAATAAATATTGCAACACACTGAGGAAAAAGCTGGTTCAAGGCCCTTAAGATGTGTCTGCAGAGGCATCTGCTACTATAGTGGAGGACAAAATAAAGCATCTTTACATGAGTTGAGAAGATAACGTGGCTTACCATTTGTGCAACAAGTGCTTGTATAGGGTCATGAGGTTTGGAAGATGGTGGCACTACTGGCCCAGGCAGGCCTCGAGGGTCAGGCCCAGCTACAACTCTGGGGTCAGGTAGTGGTGCAGACACTTGGGTGGTGGAGGTGATGGCAGTAGATGGGGCAGTGGATGGAGGCACTGTAGGGGGTATAGGGGGATGGGCAGGAAGTACAGTCACCATCTGCTGCATAAACAACTGTTGTTGCTGCATGGGGCTCAGGGTGTTCCACTCCTCAAGATTCTGAAGTTTCTGTAACACTTGCTGTCTGCTGTGAGGAAAATCCATTCAATTATTACTTTTCAATTTTCAAAAAGAATGTCATGGAACAAATCCACAAGGGCCGTGACGAGGATTCGAACCTGCGTCCGGGAGCATCCCAGACACTGCCTTAATCGACTGAGCTACGACACAAATCCCTTGTGGATTTGTTTATTTGATGCATAACGTTATTGTGATCTCTGTGTGTGAATATCATGGATCTTCTTACAATTAGGATTATTCATAAAAATATTCACAATTTCTTCACTGAAGTAGTGAACTACAGATATCAAGAAATACACTCCACAAATCAAAATATATACCAGTCCTATACAAACATGCATGATGTAAAGTACGAATTACAACAACATTATGGAACAGTAGTAATGAGAAGTTCCTAGCTGAAATAAGTCTTAACTGAATGCTCTGATCACTTCCTGGTAAATATGTTCCATCAAAGAATTTCAACTTGTTGAATTAATATCAACCTTGAGAATTTTATTCAAATTACCAAAGTACAATGAGTGTTCAGGGAAACTGTTTAACATTAATAAAATATTGAAATTAATCTTCTCTTTAGCCCTTAAACTGCTCAAGTTGCCTCAAGAAATAGATCGTTAGTGCTCGTGTCTCGTCTTCTTTCCCACCAGACTGGGCACTAACCCACCTTTGACAACACATTCACACAACACCATCACTTGACATAATATCCACAGTGATATAGTACATAGCCACTCAAATTTGTTCATCTCTTCATATATTATCTCACCTCATCCAAGGTTACCAGTTTTCCCACCTCCCTCTCCTTAATCTTCCTTTCCCCAGCCTCTAGTCACCTGGGATTGTCACCTTCAGTCTCATCATCATTCACTAACCTACCTACCTTCCTTCCTCCCTCCCTCTCTTTCTAAAGCAATGTAAGCAAAGATGCTCCATCATTTGAGGCAAATAAAACCAGTGGTTTTTTGTTCAACTTATATTTATAATTTTTAAATATGCAACTTAATTATGCATTCTTAGCATAATTCTATAAACCTCCCATTTATAGAATTGCATATACCCTGTATAGGGAAAAAGTGCTCCAATTTCCAACCAACTGACCTACAACAGAAATTAGAAATGCATCCCTGTCTTAAGTTCAGAACTTTCAGTACAGTTTATTCTATAGCTAACAAATTAGAATAGAACAACAGATTAGCTTATATCTAATATATCTATATATATATTAGCTTATATTAGCTCAGATTATAATATCAGATTGGGAGCCGGTCGGCCGAGCGGACAGCACGCTGGACTTGTGATCCTGTGGTCCTGGGTTCGATCCCGGGCGCTGGCGAGAAACATTGGGCAGAGTTTCTTTCACCCTATGCCCCTGTTACCTAGCAGTAAAATAGGTACCAGGGTGTTAGTCAGCTGAAACGAGCTGCTTCCTGGGGGTGGAGGGGCCTGGCCGAGGACCGGGACGCGGGGACACTAAAAAAAAAAAGCCCCGAAATCATCTCAAGATGTAGCTGACAACTAGACAATACACAAACCTCATAGCCAACTGATGCTGATAAACTTGCTTCTGAATCATATATGTTTGCAACAACTCCAACCGTTCACGCTCAGCCTGCTGCTTTTGCGCTGTTAACAACTCCGTCACCTAAAAGAACAAAAATAAACTCATGAAGTATGCAACAGAATGCTATAACACATTATAACTAGAAATGTTTTGATCAAAGCTCTTCAAGAGAAGTGTTTGAGCTACATACCTACAGATATGAAACAAATAAGCCATATTTTAATTATTGAATCCTGGCCGGGGGTGCAATTCCTTAAATTATTACACGATTCTTATGTATTTGAATACAAATACAGCTGAAGAACAATCATTTTAGGCTGGTGCAACAAGCAAAGGCTGCAGTAAACGGAAGATGATATTCAGTCGAGTTGATAATACAGAATGATATCGGTCCTTTTCTCCTTAATAGAACAAAGAAAGCATAAGACCCGGATGAAAGGGAATCATACAAATCACTGAAAGTTACACCTGTGAAAAACACAACAAAAATCCACATAGCAAGGCAAACCCGAAGTACCCTCAGGCCCCTGGAAATACACCTCTGAGGTTGAGGACCCACATGACAAGCTCAAAATATGTCAGAGAAAACAACCTAAGGCAGAGCAAAGCCCTAAGAACCAGAAGCAAAAAGTGTAAAGGGGCAAAGGCATGAACACTAGCCCAGGAGACCTGACAACAGAAAAAAGAACGGCCCAGGGGCAGTAAGAACCCCACAGATACCTAAAAAAACCAGGCAAGAGGAAGCACTACCAGAAACAAAGGATGCAATACCCACCACCTCACCACAATTCTAAAAACGGAAAAAAAAAAAACATTGCATCCGAGCTGAAGGAATGCTGCCAAATATACACAGCCAGTCCCAACAGTAACACAGCCCCCACTCCCTCAAAGCAACAGCTGCAAAAAGAGGCAATCCAAAAATGGGGACAAGGTTGGATAACAAGAACTTTTCACACTATAGAGATGCTATACCGATGATGATACCTTTCAAAACGCTTGTGCTATCTAGAGTGGAGTACTGCTGCACAATGACAGCCCCTTTCAAAGCTGGAGAAATTGCTGACCTAGAGAGCGTGCAGAGATCCTTTACTGCTAGAATCCACTCAGTAAAACATCTAAATTACTGGGACCGACTAAAGAGCCTAAATATGTACTCCCTTGAGCGCAGGCGGGAGAGATATATAATAATTTACACATGGAAAATAATTGAGGGGCTGGTCCCAAACCTGCACACAGAAATAACACCACATGAGACCAGAAGACATGGCAGGATGTGCAGAATACCCCCATTGAAAAGCAGAGGTGCAACAGGTACTCTGAGAGAGAACTCTATCAACATCAGAGGCCCGAGACTGTTCAACACGCTTCCACTACACATAAGGGGCATAACTGGCAAACCCCTCACAGTGTTCAAGAGAGAACTGGATAAGCACCTCCAAAGGATACCTGATCAACCAGGCTGTGACTCATACGTCAGGCTGCGAGCAGCCGCGTCTAACAGCCTGGTTGATCAGTCCAGCAACCAGGAGGCCTGGTCGACGACCGGGCCGCGGGGACACTAAGCCCCGGAAGCACCTCAAGGTAGCCTCAAGGTACGTAGTTCATCAGCCTTCAGTAGTGGCAGAGACAGATGTGTGACCAAAAACCAACATAACTTAGGCCGAAGCACACCCGTAAAAGCCACAAAAACAAGAGTGGCAGCAGAGTTGGAGGGGGGCATGCACAGGGCCTCCCTAAACAAGAACTGCAGGAGATCCCTGGTTTCCTACCCAGAAAAAGACCCGCAGGGAAGTCAGGAGCCAGGAACGGCAGGCAAACTGAAGCCAATCTCCAACCTGGAAAAATGCTGCAAAAGAAGTCATAAGCCACCACTGGAGCCAGAGTCAAAACACTCATACACAGTGGAACCTTCCCCCCCCAGACCAAGCAAACTACAGCCCACCCTGACTCTCCGGGCCCTGCAAAGGAACCAAAGAATATGCACCACAATGGACAAAGCCTTTGAGAGGAGCTGACTCCTAGGTGTGAACTCCTGAACCTTCTTAACTGAACACCAGAAGCAAGTAGAGAATGCAAACCTGGCCACAACCAGGAGACACAAACAAGCAATCCTGGCACATGCAACAAGTTGTCATCAAGAACATGAATGTGAAGCAAGAAAGGAATAAACAAACACAGGGCCCCACCCCCAACACAAGACAGAGCCCAAAGAATGGTCAGCATGGTTGAGAAGTTGGTGCCCACCCAAGACAGGAAGAACCAGGACGACTTGCCCCATCAGGCAAGTGAGTGACTGGAAAAGCCGCCCCAGAAACTGGGTTACTGGGGCTCCCATCTGGTGGCAAAAGCATGGAGCTAACTAGCAGTTGGACCTGGACAAAAAACCAGCGTTGAATGTAATGAAACGCCATTTTCTGGGTGAGACCCGGAGGCTCCCCGGAGCTTTACCAGGCTGATATGCTAATATCAGACTTTGGCATCAGTCATGTGTATGGACTTCTAGGGCCTACCGGGGACCACAGCCAGAACCTGGCCCCCTCAGAGAGGCAAGGGGAGCAATGGCCTATAGAAATCCCCGTGTGCTTGGAAGCATTCTATGTCTGCCATCGACCGAGTCAAGCATCCAGAAAGGTAAGCATTCCAAAACAAACCCCTATTCTGGTTAAAATTGCTACCAAAAGCCAAACTAGTGGATAGAACTCCCCAACAGAAAACAAACAAACTAGTATGATGTCACAAGTCAAAATTGTGCCAAAGATGTCACTTTTCCAAACCCAAATTTGAGTAGTGGATCTATTAGGAAAAAATCATAGCTTTGAAAGACATTCAAATATGGGAAGAAAGTGTGTGGTTGTATATACTGAAAGTTTAAATTATAGTTACCTTCAATGGAGGTATTGGGGGCCCAGGCACAAATGGAACTCTTCCAAATACTCTAGTGAGGTCTCCCAGTTGTGCAAACTGATCGTCACATTCCCGTCTCAGCAACAGGTTGGGTGTGAAGTATCCAGCCTTGTACCACTCGGCCATGTCACTTGATGAGAATGGACCTTGCATTTCTCCCTGAAATATTTATAAAATTATCTTCACATCGTAAAATTTAAAATATGAACGTCACTACCATTTTAACTATTTTTAAGCCTATTTTTATCTATTTGATTTTTTCACAAATTAAGAAACCCAGATACCAAGAGGATACAAGGTGGCAGACAAGGTGGCGGGAGGGCGGACAAGGTAGCGGAGGGCGGACAAGGTGGCGGGAAGGGCGGACAAGGTGGCGGGAAGGGCGGACAAGGTGGCGGGGAGGGCGGGAGGGCGGACAAGGTGTCGGGAAGGGCGGACAAGGTGGCGGGGAGGGCGGACAAGGTGGCAGGAGGGCGGACAAGGTGGAGGGAGGGCGGACAAGGTGGCGGGAGGGCGGACAAGGTGTCGGGAAGGGCGGACAAGGTGTCAGGAAGGGCGGACAAGGTGTCAGGAAGGGCGGACAAGGTGTCAGGAAGGGCGGACAAGGTGGCGGGAAGGGCGGACAAGGTGGCGGGAGGGCGGACAAGGTGGCGGGGAAGGCGGGCAAGGTGGCGGGGAGGGCGGGCAAGGTGGCGGGAGGGCGGACAAGGTGGCGGGAGGGCGGACAAGGTGGCGGGAGGGCGGACAAGGTGGCGGGAGGGCGGACAAGGCGGCGGGAGGGTGGTAAAGGCAATAAAGGTAATAAATGCACATTGTATAATGATGTGGCAGTACATATCCTTATGAGAGATACCTGCTTGATGATTGGTACTTCTCATTTAAGGCATGCACAGACCATCAGAACCAGTGTTCACGGGTAATTATTATACTTGTACATTTTCTTCCATTAATGTAGCACACAATGTATGTTTGCGTACATGGGATACATATTATGTAATGTAAATGTGGAAAAAAGTGCACACACACCTACAGGAAGTGTACAAAAAATATTTTATTTGGTACACGAGTATTTCACACAAATACCTGTACAGAGATATGGAACAAATGCAAGACCCATCTATATAAATATATTATATAAACACTTAAATCCTTTAGTTTTAATCCATGCACTGTTTGAACTCCAAGTATGTTGTCACATAATTCCCCAGCATAGCAAAGGACACTGCCTCTTCCATCTTGCCTTCGTTATTCACCACTCTACACACCTCGTAAGACGACCGGTATGGAGTTCAACCTAGTTGCAGACAGACATCTCAACACCACCACCAGTACACCCTCCACCCAGCCTCAGAGCCCCAGGCAGGTGTTCGGCCTCCAGACTCGCCGGTTCCTCGCTACATCTCTGAACCACCTGTTACGCCACTAACAGGTAGTTCGGTTCTAGTTCCAAGCCTCGGTGACAAACGGTGTGATGTCACCATCAGGGGTATAAATACCCATCTTGAGATGATTTCGGGGCTTTAGTGTCCCCGCGGCCCGGTCCTCGACAAGGCCTCCACCCCCCAGGAAGCAGCCTGTGACAGCTGACTAACTCCCAGATACCTATTTACTGCTAGGTAACAGGGGCATCAGGGTGAAAGAAACTCTGCCCATCATTTCTCGCCGGCGCCCGGGATCAAGTGCGGGACCACAGGATCACACGTCCAGTGTTCTGTCCGCTCAGCCACTGACTCCCAGTCAATTCAGTCACCTCAGTCAATTCGTCAGTCTATCAAGTGCTTATGGAATCGTCATTATGGCCTTAACACAACGCTTGTCTCCAGCTGCTTCGTGTGCAGGTTGTAGTAGTGTGTGTGTAATTACCTAAGTAATTACCTAAGTGTAGTTACAGGATGAGAGCTACGCTCGTGGTGTCCCGTCTTCCCAGCACTCTTTGTCATATAACGCTTTGAAACTACTGACGGTCTTGGCCTCCACCACCTTCTCACCTAACTTGTTCCAACTGTCTACCACTGTTTGCGAAAGTGAATTTTCTTATATTTCTTTGGCATCTATGTTTAGCTAGTTTAAATCTATGACCTCTTGTTCTTGAAGTTCCAGGTCTCAGGAAATCTTCCCTATCGACTTTATCAATTCCTGTTACTATTTTGTACGTAGTGATCATATCACCTCTTTTTCTTCTGTCTTCTAGTTTTGGCATATTTAATGCCTCTTAACCTCTCCTCATAGCTCTTGCCCTTCAGTTCTGGGAGCCACTTAGTAGCATGTCTTTGCACCTTTTCCAGTTTGTTGATGTGCTTCTTAAGATATGGGCACCACACAACTGCTGCATATTCTAGCTTTGGCCTAACAAAAGTCGTGAACAGTTTCAGTGAATTTCATGAACAGTGTGTGTGTATTCACCTAGTTGTGTTTGCGGGGGTTGAGCTTTGCTCTTTCGGCCCGCCTCTCAACTGTCAATCAACTGTTTACCAACTACTTTTTTTTTTTTCACACCACACACCCCAGGAAGCAGCCCGTGACAGCTGACTAACTCCCAGGTACCTATTTACTGCTAGGTAACAGGGGCATTCAGGGTGAAAGAAACTTTGCTCATTTGTTTCTGCCTCGTGCGGGAATCGAACCCGCGCCACAGAATTACGAGTTGTGTGTGTGTGTGTAATTACCTAAGTGTAATTACCTAAGTGTAGTTACAGGATGAGAGCTACGCTCGTGGTGTCCCGTCTTCCCAGCACTCTTTGTCATATAACGCTTTGAAACTACTGACGGTCTTGGCCTCCACCACCTTCTCACTTAACTTGTTCCAACCGTCTACCACTCTATTTGCGAAGGTGAATTTTCTTATATTTCTTCGGCATCTGTGTTTAGCTAGTTTAAATCTATGACCTCTTGTTCTTGAAGTTCCAGGTCTCAGGAAGTCTTCCCTGTCGATTTTATCAATTCCTGTTACTATTTTGTACGTAGTGATCATATCACCTCTTTTTCTTCTGTCTTCTAGTTTTGGCATATTTAATGCTTCTAACCTCTCCTCGTAGCTCTTGCCCTTCAGTTCTGGGAGCCACTTAGTAGCATGTCTTTGCACCTTTTCCAGTTTGTTGATGTGCTTCTTAAGATATGGGCACCACACAACAGCTGCATATTCTAGCTTTGGCCTAACAAAAGTCATGAACAATTTCTTTAGTATATCGCCATCCATGTATTTAAATGCAATTCTGAAGTTAGAAAGCATTGCATAGGCTCCTTGCACAATATTCTTTATGTGGTCCTCAGGTGATAGTTTTCTATCTAGAACCACTCCTAGATCTCTTTCTTTATCAGAATTCTTTAAAGATTTCTCACATAATATATAGGTTGTGTGGGGTCTATGTTCTCCTATTCCACATTCCATAACATGACATTTATTAACATTAAATTCCATTTGCCAAGTGGTGCTCCATATACTTATTTTGTCCAGGTCTTCTTGAAGGGCATGACAATCATCTAAATTTCTTATCCTTCCTATTATCTTAGCATCATCAGCAAACATGTTCATATAATTCTGTATACCAACTGGTAGATCATTTATGTACACAATAAACATCACTGGTGCAAGAACTGAACCCTGTGGTACTCCACTTGTGACATTTCTCCATTCCGATACATTGCCTCTGATTACTGCCCTCATTTTTCTATCAGTCAGAAAATTTTTCATCCATGATAGAAGCTTACCTGTCACCCCTCCAATATTTTCCAGTTTCCAGAACAACCTCTTATGTGGAACTCTGTCGAAAGCCTTTTTTAGGTCCAGATAGATGCAGTCAACCCAACCATCTCTTTCCTGTAATATCTCTGTGGCTCGATCATAGAAACTGAGTAAATTCGATACACAGGATCTTCCAGATCGAAAACCATACTGTCTGTCTGATATTATATCATTTCTCTCCAGGTGTTCTACCCATTTAGTTTTGATTAGCTTTTCCAATACTTTCACTATTACACTTGTCAATGATACAGGTCTATAATTGAGGGGGTCTTCCCTGCTGCCACTTTTGTAGATTGGAACTATGTTAGCCTGTTTCCACACGTCTGCTACGATTCCTGTACACAGGGATGCCTGAAAGATCAGGTGAAGTGGAATGCTGAGCTCAGATGCACATTCTCTCAGAACCCATGGTGAAACGCCATCTGGGCCAGCTGCTTTGTTCTTCCCGAGCTCCTTTAGCATATTTTCCACTTCATCTCTAGACACCTCTATCCGCTCTATGTTGTTCTCTGGAATTCTTATTGTGTCTGGTTCTCTGAAGATTTCATTTTGTACAAACACACTTTGGAACTTTTCATTTAATGTTTCACACATTTCCTTTTCATTTTCCGTGAATCTGTTTCCCATTTTCAACCTCTGGATATTATCCTTTACCTGCAATTTGTTGTTTATGAATTTGTAGAATAGGCCCGGTTCTGTTTTACATTTATCTGCTATCCCTTTTTCAAAATTTCTTTCTGCCTCTCTCCTTACTGCTGTATAATTGTTTCTCGCATCTTTGTATCGCTGGTATGTTTGGGGGTTTGGCCTCTTCCTATACTGATTCCATTTTTGTGTCTTTTGGTCTCTTGCCCTCTCACAATTTCTGTCGAACCAATCCTGTTTTCTGGTCCTGCATCTCTGTTTTGGTATGAATGTTTGTGTGCCTTCCTCGTATAGTTTTAAAAATTTGGCATACATTTCATTTACTTCCCTGCCTAGCAACAATTCTGTCCAATTACACTCATTAAAAAAATTTCGAAGTTCCCCATAGTTGCCTCTCTTTAAATCGAGTTTATCAACTGTTTCAATGTCCCCATTTTCTTCTAGATGATATCTTAAAGCATATTTAATGTCTAACAGGACGTGATCACTCTTTCCCAAGGGAGGAAGGTACTGGATGTCAAAAATCTCTTCTTCTTTCCTGGTGAATACTAGATCCAGTACTGACGGTACATCTCCTTCCCTCATTCTTGTGGCTTGCTTTATGTGTTGATACAAGAATGTCTCCAGAATGAGGTTCACAAATCTGCATGTCCAAAAGTCCTCCGTTCTTGCTTCATAGCAGTCTATTGCTCTAAAGTTGAAGTCCCCCAGTATCAACAGTCGTGATTTATCTTTATCTGCTTGTACAATAATATCTCTCATGACCATTATG